GGGATTATTTTGAATATGTTTTAGTTTATTATCGTCATTATTATTATTATTATTATTATTATTATTGTTGTTATTATTATTATTATTATTATTTATTATTGTATTTTTCTGCGGCTATCGGTGGTTGACAGGCTAAAGGTTAACACACGAGTAGGATAGAGTCAAAGAAGTTACAGGGATCAGGCAATTTTCTCACTTCTAGCTTCTCCATGTAAGAATTGACATGTACAAAAAAGATGCCAAAGCTAATTTTCTCCGGCATGTAGTGGTCATGGTGGCTCCCCTGAAAAGTCTTTTGCCTTCATTCCTTAAAAACTCGATGTAAATAGCTATCCGTTTAATTTAGCTCCTGGTCATTATTCAAGAAGACTCTAATCTAATGGTTATACAATATATCAATCGTTTATCGACATCATCAAGTACAGTTTGGCAAACGTACAATTTTTTCCCGTCTGCTGTTGTTTGTTTTATTTGCAAGAATACGGTAATTCGAGATACCATATAAGAAACAAAAATACATACCAAGTGGGATTTATGTAAATTATTCAGTTCTTTGTTTATTTATTTCTGGCATTTCAATCTCGGTTATCAGCTCATCATATACCTTAGTTTGACCTTATATAGAAAACAACAAAGTCTCTGTCGGACAAAGCGGCAAAGTAGATTTCGAGAGCTTCCTACCGACCAAACAACAGAAAAAACCAGAAAATACCATACCGGCTGCAACAAAAAAGCCACAAAATTTGATTTGAAATTATTTAATGGTACTCCGAAGTTTCCTTAAAAATTTAAAAAAATTATAAGCCTAATTCTTCCTTACGTCGACCTGATTATGTAACAATAACAACAACAACAACAAAGTTTACCTTAAAAGTTTTCAGAATCGCTTGCAAGTCCTTGCAGGAGTAAGTTTTCAAAGCCATTAGCAGATTCAGTTTTTGCGTGTTTGAACACCTCTTAACATTTTCGCAAGTCCATAACGGACCATAACGGGCCTCAAGTGATCCTACAACGAGCGGCTTTCCATTGAACAACAACAACAACAACAAATTGATTAATGAAGCTGGGTCTTTGTGCAGCTTCAATTCAGTGGAGTAAGAAAACGAAATTGAAGAGCGATCAGGTCGATCTATCCAGCGTCGAATTCCACAGTCAGAGCAAGGGAAAGCGAAAAACGGTACTTGTCGAGTATAATTTAAGCACAGCGCCCTTCCCTTTCAGATTTTTCGTTCAACTAGTTACGCAAACGGGGCACATGTCATGTGATTTACCCTTGGTTTACCGGAAGTTACGTTAACATCCGGTCGTTTTGTAATATTTAAAATGAAATTTACCAAAATTCTGTTGTAACAACCAGACGTTTGGAGTTTAAAAAAAGTTAATAAAACAATTATTCCATTCTCGCTTGTTGGATATGAGATAGTACGCGCTACGTGCCCGGTTGGCTATATACCACCTCATATCCAACCCGCGCTCATGGAATAATTGTTAAATATACTTATTAAATGATAATCTCACCACAATTGAAACGAGTTCTTTTTTCTTTCTTTCTTTCCTTTTTTGTTTTTGACAATAAGTGAACTGTGATGATCAAGGCTGCTAAGTGCAGCCAAAATATAGGTTCACCGCTACATTAAAAAAAGTGTATAGCTGTCTTCATTTGTGATGAGTATATTTGGTCATGGAGACTGCCGTCTCTTTGCTATTAATGCATGTTTCCCGTCTTCGTGTTGGGAATTATTTAACAATATTCACCTAACCTTCGCCGAATAATTCGTAAATAGTGCCATACGGTATTATCATGCGTTCATCATACAATACGAGTACTTAAAGGGAGGTATCTTTTCCTTTTATTATTTATTTATTTGCTTGTAATTTTCTGCTTCTCAAGTTCCCATATCTGCGAAAATGTGATTATTTACGTACAATAATCATTTTACCAGTGTCTCGAGAGACCTTTGTCATGCGAAGGGTATGTCATGTATTTATAAAAATCGGATTAAATTAAAAAACCATATTTTAAATTCTGCAAAACAATTAGTATTCAGACTTCAAGGAAGTTGAACCCCATAGTGCACCAAACAAGAATCGGTGGAATTCTGTAAAAACATGTCAAACATTGACCCAATGCAAAAATTCTACAAACTGGGCGTTTGGAAGTACAGTAATATCGTGCAAACTTTAAGGATGAAAATACCGTAATGGACCTTGTCACGGTTTTGGACGCCATCTTGACAAGTAGGCAAGCGCGTGAGAAATTACAATGTTTGTACGAGAATCTAATGTCAAATAATCTCGTAAAACTACTGTTCTGAAAAAATATGAATTGTAAACTAAAGCTACACAGCAAAGGATTCTGCTAACAAATTTTTGGGACCGAACCTGTGCTTACATGTCTCTAGACGCTTGCTGTAGATTTTCCACATATTTTTCTGCAACTTTTTCGGGAAATTTTATTCGGCAGGAAGAAAAATTTTTTACAGACAATTTTCTATACATGAATGTACAGAAAATTTTAAAGAGTTGTTTTAGCGCATTTGTCTACATGTAACGCCTTCAAATTTTTTCATTAGAATCCTTGGGAGTAAAGCTTTAAGTTTACAATTCACCTTTTTTCAGAACAGTCGTTTTACGGAAATTATTCGACATTAGATTCTCATATTAAAACTGTAATTTCTCACGCGCTTGCCTGCTCGTCAAGATGGCTTTCAAAACCGTGACAAGGTCTATTTCAGTAGACACATAATTCATTTCATGTTTAGGCGCCTTGGTATATTTTCGTTGGTGGTGTTTTGTCCCGCCTGGACATGTCCGCTAACATAATTATTTGTGCTTTTGTTCAAACAGCAAAGACGATACTCCTTTCTAAAGGAGAAGAAGAAGAAAATATAATAATAATAAAAATGTTTAATTTCTTTACTCCATGTCAGGTCCAGCTCCTTGCGAATCACGCTTAATAGCAGCACATCAAAAATGTACTGTTAAGAATTTGTATTTGCGTCGCTGGTAAGAATAATATATATTAGCACAAAGAAGAGACTTCTTCAAGTTTAAAATTCAGTTGACCAAGACTACCACCTGTTGATATCTTTTTACGTCCACTGTTTTCCTTTTAGGTCATAACCGTAGAGAGCAGTGATGTTCTGTAAATGTCACGTGTCACAATGTATGGTCCACATGTGTCATAGTGGCCCGTAGGGTACTTTCCATAAAGGTCGTGAAAATTATGAATTTATCAAATTTTGGATGATTTTGTTCTAACAGAATTTCATCTTACAGAGGGTATGTTGAATGTACGAATAGTTAAGTCTTTTAAACATTACTTTGTTCAATACATCCCAACGAGGCTGATATTTGTTCTGCCAATGATCTTGGAAACATTAGTTCCTTCTGTAAGCTCTGTTTGTCCTCTTGTCTTGCACATGTTATTTCTGGCATATATCGCTACTAGATACAGGTACAAGTTAGGAGCGAATCCCAAAGTATTTTAAGTGAATTTGCTATCTGAAGTCAAAACAACTTGACCTTTTTTCACACACTGATAGAACGCGTTCCGTTTGTTAGAGAGATCCAAGTAACGTCTTATCTATAGCCTGTGTACAGACGTCCCCCCTTCCTCAGATTTTTTTTTCTGAGGGAGGGGGACATCTGTACACAGGCTACTTATCTATCATGGCAAGTGAAATCGGTGCTGCATTTCATAAATTTTTGCCTGTACCTCAGCCAGTCATATATCTATAATGTTGATAAATTCAATTTTTTTTTCTTTGAAGTTAAATCTTCAGGCAGATAATTTGCTTCATTTGATGTGGTTACGTAGATTCTTAGATGTGTTTCATGCCTTTCGTAAGCTGGGCTGGTCAAAATCACAGAAATCTCAAAGTATAGGCGTTTGTGGTTGACACAGTTCGCCGCCAAGGTCGCGAATATTAAGAGGGGTTATGCCCCAGGGATTAAGCAGGTTTCTTTTAAAAAGCCATTTTCATCCAAGTCATCTGTACGTAAAGATACATCAGTTTCAGGAAACTTATATGCAAGAAACTATGGTTAACTTTTTGAAAGAGTTGTTAACGACTGTTACTTAGCCTCTTTTCTCCTTACTGACATCTGAAGACTCATTTGTGACTCGATCATTGGATTTTCCGTCGATACGTCGTCTATATTAGGAGGGCAGATTTTTTGATATTCAAGTTGTTTTGGCAACTTTTGGCTTCGTGCCATGCAATCTCTCAACGTTATAGTTTGACCGACGAAAATTTAGCACATATTCATGCATTTGTTTTTAATATTCGACAATGACAGGAGAGGTGCATTTTTTGACAAAATCATCTCTGATTCTGTAATGTTATTGTTGACTTCGCTGACGCGGAATGTTTACTATTGTACCGCCCGTAAATTGAGCCACCTGGATGGCTAATCTTCTTTCGAAACAATGAAGGCTCTGAGTCACACAAGTCATGAGGAAAAGAATTTATGTTTCTGGTACATCGATTGCTCAAAATCGTTTCGTCATCCGCTATACTGAGAATGATCGACTTACGTATTATATTTGACTTGTGCTAAAGTGGTTTATTATAAATGTATAACGCTGCAAAAAGGGATCGATGAAGTGTTCGGCAACATTAATATAGGATATCTAAAGGAAAACACAAGCCTATTCCACTGACTTATGTTTTGCCACTGAGAATACAGTGCATCCAGGTACAACTATAGTACTGGACACAAGTCCCACTCAAAGCCTCCCGTTATGCCTAGTTTCTAGTTAACTCTCGAGTCTTTTTTTTTTTTTTGTAACTTTATTTCATTTCAGTTTCTTAGGACCTTTGACCGGGTTCTTTAAGAGCACGAGCGGTCGGAAGGGGAAGCGAACAAATGCCATTATAGTGTTGCCCTCAGCCACCAGGAATGTTTCATTCATTGGAAAAAACTTTGGAAAAATCATTAGCCTAATGAACTAATTTTCACTATTATACGTTTATTCTTAGTGACTGACAGACATCATGGCGAATAATTCCTCTGATCCTAAGCAGAATGGTGGACGCATGTTCACGCATGAGGAGATGTTAAGCTGGTGCTTTGGATTTGGTATTATTGACGTCCTTATTCTAATAAGTAACACTCTCGCCATTATCGTTTTTACACGAAGCAAGTTGCTGCGAAAGCGTACAAACTATTTTTTGCTTTGCTTGGCCATTGCCGACATCATAGTTGGTCTGATTTCCTTGCCAATGTTTCTTCACACTCTGGTTGCATACACCGAAAGTGGAGGAGTGACGCTGCCCAAATTTGTCTCGCAAGTGCCAATAGCGTTGGACATCTTTGCGGGGTTTGCTTCCGTTTTTGCCTTAACAGTTATTTCATTGGAGCGTTTGTATTCAGTCGCTCTACCCAACTGGCATCGAACAACACCTTGTTACGTTTACGGTATTTTAATGACCATTATTTGGACTCTGGCCGCCATTCTACTCACCTTTCGTATACTTCAAGATGAGAAAATAGTGTCAGAAATTATGTTGTACTTAACGATGGTGACGTTTTTTAATTGTCTGGTGGTGATTTGCTTAGCATACGTTGGTATTTGGATCAAGGTGGTTCAAAGAATGCACGAAAAAACAAAAAAGGCCCTTGAAAAGGACAAGAAACTGGCAATGACCCTGTTTTTAGTGACGTCAATTTTTGTTTTAAGTTGGACACCATTCCAGGCAATGAATATCTACATTTCTTTATCCGGTGTGTGTAAGGTTTCCTGTTCTAATAAGAAACATATTGTGACCATGATCTATCTCACCAAAATGATGCAGTACGCGAACTCGTTCATCAATCCGATTATCTACACCTTTAAGATGCCCGACTTTCGCAGAGTTCTTCTGTCGCTTTTTGGTAGGAGATCCTATGGTGCATCAACAAGGGGCACTTCGAGAATGCTGACCGGTGACAGACGCAAGAGAGCAAGCACGCTGCGATCCAGCGATTGCGAGGCCAATGGCAATTGCGAAAATGCGGTGTGAATATCTACCTAAGTTTCGTCAACTAAGTCAATTCTGCAAAGTTATGGTAGACAAAACCAGCCTTTAAGGACAACTGATGAAAATGGCGTAAGTATATTTCCGAAAGCCGCTATTCAAACACGGATGAAGGTGTAAGCGATGAAAACGTCACGTGAGAAATCTCCCCAATGAAGATTGTGAGTACACACACGAAATTGTGCTTGAATCACAAATAACCCCTGCAATGCAGGCCATAGTCAACGATGCAGAGCATCCCTGTACTTATCGAGCTAGAACAGTCATGTGCTGCCATCAAAAGTGCGCATGCTTATCTGAGACTGTCACGTGACTGTGGGTCCTAGCAAAGAACGAACCTAATTGTATGCAGCTGTGACTTCCTACATAAGGTACAAGATCAATATTTTTCAGTTACAAATTTTAACACCTCAATGAGGTTACTCTGTATGCTGTAGTTTACAGCTATTTCGAGAAACGTTGCCGGAAGTAGTGCATTGTATTGTGGGTGGTTTTCAGTTCACTTTTCTTCAAAGAAATTTTAAAGAATAGCACGATAAGACATGGACTTATGTTTGCGAGTGCTTAAGGAAAGAAACAAAAGTAGGTTCGACAGCTACAGTGTCATGAACAATGTATTGATCATATCCCATACTACCTTTCGGGATTGTCGCTTGCACATTTTTTCAGACAACCGTTCTCGAAATAGCTGTTCAACGTGGAAACTATGTGTGATTTAGGAAGTCAAATTAAGTTTCCTCACATGCGCAATGCGCACGGTTTTTCATCATATCAACGTTTTTGGTGTTAAAGTTATTGCAATGATAAACATATTTTCTGTTGCAGTATTTGCAGCATTGTTTAACTGTGCGGAGAGAACCATAACAAATGAAAACATACACTCAACTGTTGTTCTTGATCCTTGGATCCTTTTCAATACTGATAATTTTATCTTGTTTGATTTTTCTTACTTAAGGTTGTCAGTTTCTCTCACTTAAGATTGTACCTAGCTTTTCGTTTAATCACTCTTGAGGCTAGGAATTGAACCACGAAAGAAGTCCTTGTCGACTCTTGCCTCTTAATTGTTACTGTAGTTATTCGATTAAGCGCACTGGGCGCTTATTAAATTTTTGGACCTTGAGAGTGGGCGCTCATTCGAGGTGGGTGCTTGTTTGAGGCTGGGCGGTTATTAATTGTCATTATTTTCAGCAAATAGTATGTTAATTTTCCAACAAAACGGTAAATAAAAACAAAACGTAAAGATGTGCCAGAAAAGAATTTTAAGTGTAAAAAAAGACTAAGAACTCGGTCTTCAGCGAAGTCTCTTAACTTAGTAGTGCTAAGTCAATTTCTATCTCTGTTTCAATAAGGTCAATAAGCGAACTCTCTAGTGGTTGCCTCGTCCATGGCTCACCGTGTAATGTCTGCAAATGGCCGGGTCAGTCGACGAGAAGCAGATATCGCAGTAAACAAATAATAACCAAGACTCTTCTGGTCCACTTCAGTGTTTTGGAGGGTTGTGGATGGGCTGGGCGCTTATTCGAGGCTAGACACTTGTTAACTTCCTCCGTCCTCCGGACAGGATGGGCGCTTATTCGAGGCTGGGAGCTTAATCGAATAAATACGGTAGTAGGCATTGTGTCTCATTTTATAATTGAAAAAATGCTATCACCTATGTTATCGTATTCTCAGCTTTAGGGCAGGTATTTTCGACTGTACGTTAACGATTTTTGTTACATTAATTTAGTGTAGCAAGACGTCTGCTTAAGTTCGTTCTGGGAAGGATATATTTTTAAATTTAGTTGTATAAATCAATCATACATTTCTATTTTTGCTTCAACTCGTCGTCTATGACTTTACAAGAAACTATATCGTATATATTTGTACCAGTATCAGCTTGGTTTTAGAAGGAGTTTATCTTACTTCCATAAACCTATTATATTTTTATTTTGGCCCAAGGTGTACAGAAATGTCCAGAGTTAAAAATACGCATGCGCAATTCTATTGACAGTCTCCTCCTGATTAAAAAGACACCAAACTACAAAAGGTCTGTCAGATATGAAGTACTTATTAAACGATACTTGCGTTCAATCCTGGACTTAAGTTAAGTCGTGTGAAAAAAATTTCTGGAGGAAAAAACTTTTTATGACCGATTTTGTGGTAGTTGGTGGTGGTCCACGCCCTTTGCAGCTGGATCGCGTGATATAATTTTATATAAATATAAATATATTTTTGCAAATTAGGCCAAGTAGCTCCAAACTGTACAGGGCCGTTTGCAGATTCGACGCTTTATTTGTAGGTAGTCTCATAACTGTAAAGTGTACCCTCAACAGCGTCTAATAAAATGAAAGGGTTGTTGGGTGAAGTCAATTGTGTAAAGGTTTTACTTTTCCTTTAACACTTGTCATTGGCGTTGTCAAATATGCTGGTAACTTTGACTTCACTCTTTGATACACGTCACAGCCACCACAACTTTGACTTGAAGTGAAAGTTGTGGTGGCTATGCCACACTTTTGATGCATGTCAAAGATGAAGGCAGTTACGAAAAACTACACTTTGACAACACGTTTGAATGGTGTCAAAGGTGACATCAATGAACAATGATTCAATGAACAACAGTTATTTCCACGGTTCAAACATTTATTTTCAAACTGATAAAAGAAAAGCTGTAATACTGCTTTAGTGAGATACTCAAACGACAAATCCAATACCCATGGCTTTAAGTACAGGTAATCGCCGTTTTAATTTTTTTAAAAAGGATCGCCCTCGGCTGGTGATTTACGAGCTTTCCTCGTGTTCCTAACAGCCCGCGTGGGTTATGACGCCGGTTAAACCCATGAAAGTGTGGCCTTTTGTTGTAATTAAACAACTGTTTTTTCGAGAAACTTCAAAGATATTTTTATGTGTTGGTTTACAAATTCGAGTGGATCGTTTTTTTTTCAAGCTAAACTAATATGGATTTGTCTCTTATCTATCCACCATTTTAAGCGGTATCCAGATCGCAGCTGAATTTGGTTGGAATCGCGGCATGGATTCATTTGCAACCTACGTGTATGGCCATAGTTTATACCCGTTTGAAGTTTATTTTTTAATCTTAAAAACATATTCTAAAAAACAAGACTCGGAAGGGTAAAATGCGAGGGCGTCAGTTGCAAATGAATCCTACCTAAGACCCCCTGTTGAGAGACGTCAAAGACCATTCTCGCACGTTAAGGGTGCATAAATGTGTGAAATATCGATCTTTGATCGCTCCTTTGACGTTCTGTATATCCATTTTTTCTATGGTCGAAAAAGGCGTAAAAAATAATGACAATTATAATAGTAATGATAAATTATTTACGGCTAGGCAGAGAAGTTTAATTTTCTGCGGATCCAAGTGATGTCATTGACAAGCACGAGAAGCTGACGAGGAGCTTCAGTCTTTTTGTGCTTCTATTCCAGATCATGAGTTGAATATGGGCGGTGCTGTTTCAAGGAAATCGGGTTTCTGTGGATCACTCCGATTGACACTCTACTACACGCAGTTACAACGAATTAAACTCATACCATTCAAGTCAAAATAACAATTCTTGGGTAATTTGGTGGCTTTGATGCAGATGTCAGAAATCGTAACGAAACAGACATTTTTTCGAGTATGCTAAGCGAGAATGTTGTATTCAGAAGCTCGAATCGACTGAAAAGTAACATCGAGAAGTGATCACAATTAACGCACTTTGGGGCTCAGGAAAGACTTTTAAAAGGGAACGAAATTTATGAAATAAAATTAAAGATTCTTCCCTTTTTATGTTGATTGGTAGCTCAAACGTGATTACTTTCAGGGTAACCAACCAGACCACAAGAAAGCCCTGAGACAAAAGGTTGGGTAAATAATGTAAGGTAGGAAACAAAAAGTCAACAGCATGATTATAAACATAAGCAAGGCAGATGTAAATTTACTGCATGTTGTCAGTCTCTGGAGGTTATAAGATGATTTTGTTGGTTCAGAGCTACAGCTCAGTAAGTAGACTCGAAAATTCCGAATCTTGTCAGGTTTAAGGAACAGATACGGAAACTAAGAAACTTCTGCTACTGTCCACGTTCATATCTAACCTCTTCAGCCCAGGATTCAAGTGAGTACAATGCATCTTAGAGGCTATCTTCAGTTGGTGAATGATTGAAAGGTGTACGACAGTAAATTGTAGGGTTTTCCTAAAAACTAGTAAAAAAAAAAAACAGGTCTCTATGCCATTAATCATTATAGTCGTTCGGAGTATTAATCAAGAAGAGTTTGCTCTTTGCAGTATAATTTTGAACTTCTAGATTTAGGCTTGTAAACTTTAGATAGCTTCAGTGACGTTTTTAAATGTTCTTCAAATAGTTATTCTGACCTTCGTTTTGAGAAAAACGTAATTATATCGTAACTTTCCATAGGCGACTCAACCACCTATCTCTACTACTTTTACTATATTCCACTGGTTTGACTCAAGAACGAAATATGGTGCTGTAGCAGTATGTATTTTAAAAATACGTTTTCCTCAAATATTCTTCAATCCGCCAAAAACAATATTTGACTACTGTCTTATTAATTCTTTATTATGTTGGCGTATGGAAATTGTTTCGTCGAAATCTTCAATGAAACACTGATTATTTGATGCCGAGCAGATAACTTGTGAATTTGCTTTTGCTAAATTTATCAGATTTTCACTTTACTTTAACAAACATATCCGACGACGACTCGGTCTGCTTGAGTCAGCGTAGGCGTAGAAGACAATAAATTTTCACAGTCCTTAACAGGTGCAATCGACTCATGCTGTTAGCCTCAGAACTGGTTGAATCTTTTTTCAAACAATTTGGTATTACTGTTTAAAAATTGTCTACAAATTCAATAATCAAAAATATTATTTGGAAGTCAACAAAAATTATATCAAATACAATACAATCGGATGTAATGAACCCGAAGCTGTCAGCGTAATCATGATTATTACATTACTATTTTCTTTCGTTATCTTTTCTTTCTTTTTTTCTCTTCTTTTTTTCCTTTTTTTTTTAATCATGCCCACTAAGAAATGTTCCAGGGCTTGTTATAGCAAAGTTACTGTTTTCTCTAACGCGATGCCCAGACCTATATGAATGAATTGTTTGATCGTTAGTATGAATCAGATCTTCCGTTTGGCTTTGACTTGGGAACATGAAATATTTGTTATTCAGGAGAAAAAAGGGTAATATCGAATAAAGTTAAATCGTATAGCATTTTTTGAAGCTGTCGCTATCGATACTGATGAGCTTAAGGCTGCATGCAAACGGACGCAACATTGTTGACCAACAACTCCCAACATTGTAGGATGTTACATGTTGCGTCCGTTTGCACACCCTGTTGCATGTTGTTGCGCAAAGTTTGAAACCGGTCAAAGCTGAAACGTTTAGCCCCGTGCAAACGGACGCAACATTGTTGGCTTAAACCTCCCAACATTATATTGTTGAGAGTTGTTGCGCCCGTTTGCACGTAGCCCACGTTTTTGAACGACGCACGTCAACCAGAAGTGGACTTTTTGCATTCTTGGGCAGTTATTTTGCTCACATTTTCTGGTAAAGCGTCTCTATAAGACTTAAGACATTTACCAATACTAATTTAGAAGCGTCATGGCATATCAAAAGGGAAAAGGGCTCACTTCCAGGTGACGTGTGTGGCTTAATAGCGCTTTTGCTTCCCTTTGTTTACAAACAATAATTAGCGACCCGCGAGTAAATGTAACTTCTGGCATTAAAATTACGCTCGCTTCACGCACTTTCACCAGCGTCCTTCTAATCGATCATAATCATAACCAGTATAATAAAGCTACGTGCAAACAGATGCAACAACTCCTAACAATGTTGGGACCCGCAGTGCATCGTAGGATTAGGATTCATCCCATAAGACTTTGGAGACCATGTGTGATGATCGTGCGTGGCCCCAGCAAATTGGAAGAGCCGTGCAAATGGATCCAAAATTGTTGCCCAAAGTGCATCGAAGAAAGCCGCAAAAATCTATAGCTAGTATTTATCTGCCAAATTTATCTTTCTAATTCCCCAAGAAGTACTATAAAGAACGTTTTTCGTTCAGCTTATTCATTCCTGTTTTTTATCTTATTATGTTTCTAGCTACTAGTAGTGCTGCTTCACCAGCTTCACCGCTGTTCCACCACTTTTTTAAAGCATTCTTCAAATAGTTATTCTGACCTTCGTTTTGAGAAAAACTTATATCGCATCTCTCGATCGGCGACTAAACCATTGCTCTATTACCTTTACTTTATATCAATAGTTTGACTCAAGAACGAAATGTGGTGTTGCAGTGACGTATTTTAGAAATACGTTTTCCTCAAAATTCTTCAATCTGCCAAAAACAACATTGGCTACTGTAATCAAAAATTCTTCATTATGCTGGCGCATTAAAATTGTTTCGTCGAAATCTTTCAATGAAACGGCGATTATTTGATGCCGAGCAGATAACTAGTGAATTTGCTTTTGCTAAATTTATCAGATTTTCACTTAATCGGATTTATTTATTAAACATACTCGACGAAGACTCGGTCTTTCTGAATCAGCGTAGGCGCTGCGTACTCCGGCTGCTTTAACAGCTCTACCATTCCGATGATAAACAAAGCACAAGCCTTGATTTCTTCATTCGCACTGAGGAAGAGCTAGCTCTCAAAAAGTTAGCTTTTCAAGTTGCAGTCACGTGGTAAATCGGCTTTGTCAACTCAGTCGTTTAATAAATCTTTCATGTAATTCGGTATCTAATTTAATGGTTAATTTCCTTTCATTTATTTCTCATTTAATTTTTTAAAATTGCTTGATGTATATAAGTAAATATAATGTTTAATTTCCTTCCATTTATTTTTCATTTCATTTTTTTAATTGGTTGATTTTACTTGCAGAATGAATATCACCGTTACGAATGTAACTGAAATACCTCAGAAAGGTACTTTTAATTTGGACCCAGGAATGGAAATGTACGGGATTATATTATTGTTGGTATTTTACTCCATCCTGTGTCTTGGCATCCTAAGCTTGAACTATTTGATCCTGCGAGCCTTTATGAGAACAAGAGCTCTTCTACCACGCCAGCGAATTTTCCTCAGCTTCCTGGCCTCCATAGAATTTTCAGTGGGACTGGTATCCATACCGGCATTTATGTACAACATGCTGTACTGGCCCAGTTATATGTATTTCATTTATGAGGCCTTTGATTGCGCTTCAGGTTTTGCTACCGGTCTCATTCTTGTCATTCTATCAATTAAGGTATTGCGGGCAACGTTCAGAGCCCCAACTCGATACGCAGGCCATCCACGAAGACGTAATCTATACTTCGTCGTGGTGGGTTCCATTGTCACTGCTGCAAGCGTCTCCGCCTTAAACATGACATGTCTTATGAATTACCTTTCCTTCTCTTTTTTCTTTTTCTCAGCTGGAGGCCTTCTATCCGTCTTTGTACTTGCAATTGGTGTTACATGCACCGTTACCACAGTTACGATTGTAATTGGCAAAGAAAGCGACAATGAACAAGACGAAGATAGAAAATTTAGGAAATTGGTGTTGATGTCCTGCGCTGTCTATATATTCACATGGGCCTTACCTTATACACTTTTCATTTTTAATTCCTTTTGCGGATTTTGCCTCCCGTTACCCCCTATGTTTTTTTACATTGTCAGACTATTTTTGTACTTGAGGTCATTCCTCATTCCCATAACATATTTTAGAAGTAATCCATTATTTTATAAAGTTGTGAGGAAAATCCTGACAAGAGAATGCCTTGGAAAACACTTCAGATACTAAAAGAAACTGAATTCAAATCTTACAAAAACAATGACATATTTCATTAACTTATTTGTTTAGGTTCAGACAGGTTGAATGAATTATTTAGCACAACTTAATGTAAAAAAAAAACTGTGCACTGATAAGTAAACAGCGGAAGAAAACCTTTTAATGGCGTTTGATCCCTAAGGTCGGCGCTATATGCAAGGGGGATTATTACAAGTTGGAAGCACATTTTGCTGAAAGTTATCTTCTAAGGCTTAATGATTCTTAGATGTGATGAACAAAACTTTCAGTAACGGCAGTGCTTTTTATTTAGTTATTAAAACTGTCTTCCTTTGCCGGCGCTAAAAGGGCAATTAAAGTTGGCCTACAGTTTCAAATGGGTCACTGTATGTGATTCGGGATATGCTCAGTTCAAATGCTGGGATCAATTCTGACTCGTCCCACTCGTCTTCGCGTAACGCGCGCGGAGGGAGCAGGGGGTGATGGGAATGGAAAAGGGAGGAAGACTCTCTCCCTCGCTTTCCTCCTTCCCATCACACCCCCGCGCCACTAAGGAGAGACAGAGAGAGAGACGACTGGGGACGAGACAGGAGTCAATTTCTTTAAGCATGTCAAGACATAAGCTTTTAACAACCTCTTTCCTGAGTTTGAAAAAGACCTGCAATTATTCAATTGTCTATAATAGTTAGAAAGCTAATATCATAAGTGACGAATTACTCCTTAATTTTGGCGCGAAATTTCAGCGTTAATTTGTAATTTCACAAGTGAAATTACAAAATTGCCATGGCAACCTTCCGTATGTCTCAGTGTCAAGATGGCGACGAAGTTTTAAAATGTCATGAATGAAGATGTCAGGGCACAAAAAGGCGCTTTAGAAAACCTGAACACACGAAAGAGCACATCAAGAAGGATTCCAACAGGTATTTTGTCGAAAAACTCTGAACTTAGGCCAAATTTAAGCGCTAAACGTTCGAGAGAGTGCAGGAGTTCTCGATCGATACGATCCAGAACAAACATGTCAAAAATCCAAGATTGCTAACGTAATTCGTCACCCGTGATATTAATAGGTAATCAAATGGTATACTCGTGAAACTAGGGAATAATCTCACTTGCGTTTTGTCCAAATCCTAATACTTTTAAGGATTTGGACAAAACGCGCGTGAAATTATTCCCTAATTTCACTCGTCACCATTTGATTACACATACTAATTTCACGCTACTTATTACAGATTACTTTATCTTTTATTAATCAATTGATTAATTTTTTATTTATCTATTTATTAAATATTTTCCTTTATGTATAACACTGCAATCAGTCACAGGCAAACTCATCCTGCGAGCAGAGCCTCTTTTTGTCCTCTTGAATGAAAAAGAGAAAAGACGGTTCTGCGTGAATCGCGTCAAGCTTTTGAGGTCGCTGCAGCCCAAACCTCTGGACTACTCAATCTTGTTTTCTCTCGTCAAACAGGTTTATTCCAGTGCGAGCATCCGTTAATTGATAAACCGATGGTTATAGCCGAGCACGCTGTATCAAGCGCGCGGCTATAAGGACTGGGTTCGAAACTATATCCTAGCAACATGCCGCGCATGCTCAACAAAGATCATACTCAATTCAAGCAGAGTCTTTGTCGACTACGACAAAATCGCGAAAGAAAGGCTCTGCTGGAAGGATGAGTCAAACTGTAAAAAAGAAGCAAACAGAACGAAACGATTCGTTTGCAGGCAGTAATGTGAAGCTGTATTAAAGACGCAGGGCCGGTATAGCCTGTTCCCGACGCTTCCGCGGGGGGAGGTGGGGTGGAATTAAAATTAATAAATGGGCTCTTTCCTCCTTTGTTATTCTCATCTCCTACGACTCCTATTTAGGGCCCCGATGGCCAAAAATAATATGGAATGAGGAGAAGGGTTGTGAGTATGTACTCAATGAGTTCTGTGTATTGCTCAATGAAACGGAGAATTCGACACTGACAAGTGTGTTTTGATTAAGAAAAAAAAAATACGAACAAACCAAGAAAACAAACAATTGGGCTTGAAGATGGAATTGGTAGGGCTTCTCCCTTACAAAATGCGTTTGTGTACAGCGCCCGAAATGATCCCGACCCCGAAATGCGATCAACAAATTGACCCTGAAATGATACCAACCTCCGAAATGATCCCCGGTTAATTTCAGGAATGGAATGGTATCCTTGAACTATGACTCGAGCAAATGCACAAAAATGATTAAAATTTTCACTTATAATCTTTACTCGCTTACATTCTCCGTGATTCTTTAATGACGTATATTGGGATTTAGAAAGTATCAGTTATTATCAGTTAATTACGAAGTCATATCAAAATTCATGTCTAAGTCATTGCGACGTTTTGGAGATATTTTGTGCAGTAAATCGACTGGCTTTTTTCTCACGTCTTATATAGTAGGTAACTAACCTTTTATACTTTCATTCAGTGATGTCCGTGGATTATATTTAACTGACCTGTACAGCACTAGTAACAATGGATTACGCACTATTTTTCTACTAGTTAAAAATACATAGCCCTCATTGTTAACCCGGCAGGCTGTCTAATCCGTGGTCAATTTACCTTTGACATGTTTTGGGTTACTAGATTTGTTATCCGAAGGGGAGGTTTGTCTTCTTTACCGAACCAGGGAAAACTGAAACCATGTGGCACGACAATAAAAACAGCATAGAGTTTTCAAAGTTTTAATTAATGGTGTTAAACTTTAAATGATCAGTGTCCAAGATGCAAGAGTAAATGTTAAAGCGATTAGATGACAAAACCGTAAAAAGTCACTTAAACCGTTTTTATAATTGTTAAAAGCGAATTATCAACGTTGACTGCGACTAACAATTCCGAAGCTGAATGACACTCCCTTCCAAAACTTAATTGGGATTGATTTCGGGGTGGATACAAAAAAAATTAGGGATTATTTCGGGGACGACATCATTTATGGGTCAATATGAGGATCATTTCGGGGTCGGGATCATTTCGGGGGCTGTACAGGTCCTCGAACATTCCTTGCTCAGTACTGAATTGTATAACGATGCCCCGAGGCGTAGCCTGGGTACATTTGCCCATTGACACACAAACAACGTAACAAATCTTAATAAGCTAAGGTTCTTTACTTATAGTCCCTCATATCGTTTTCAGTTGGTTTTTGCTGCATCCTTTTTCCAAAAAAATTCATTTGCTTTATCTTAGCCTTCAAGGTGTCTTGAAATCCAGGAATACGGAAACAATATATAACCGGGTTGATCACAGACTGGAATGCAAAGGCGACGTGCAGCCACATTATGACTGATCCTTTCGGCTGATGACAAGTCGTACAAATGCGAGGAATGGATATGAAAAGAACTGGAATTACCCACGTGACAACGAAAGCACCTGAAATCAAAAGAAGTGTGAAAGCCAAGGCTTTATCCTGACTTGTAGAGGTGTCGTGTTGCGGGCGTCTGCGTTTGATAAATACCCATAAAGTAATGTAACTCGCAGCCATCTCGATGGTTACAAAGAAGACCGTGGCTGGTAACACAGCTTCAAACCTCACGTTGTACATTTTCAGGGACATGATGGCAGTTAATGCGGCCGACAGAGCCCAAGCAAACACCAGGGCTGCTTTGTAGATATAGATTCTTAAAACTCGATGACGAAAAGGCCAGACAATGGCGTGCATTCGTTCTAAAGCAATAAGGCCTAGTGTCAAAAGAGAAGCAGTTTTGGTAAACTTGTTTAGAAGGTTGAACACATAAAAAGCAATTACCGAGCTATCAAGGAGATAGAAAAGAGCAAGTGAAAGCCCCGTAACTCCGAACAAAAAGTCAGACACAACAAGATTGATAATCATGAAATGTTTCCGCGTCCTTAGTGACTTGTTTTTCATGAAAGTGTATAATGCCGACGAATTTAGAAGAATTACTGCAAACTCCAAGACGGCAAATATTGCACCCCAAGCGACCAATGCATCAGTTCCGGTAAACACGCTTTTCGTTGAATTCCGCTGCATCGTTTCTCGGAGATTTTCCCTGTGGATTAAAACGTAAATAGTCATTCAGTGAGCACAATGCGAAAATATATGCTTGTCATGATCACCAGAAGCATTCACTTTTGCAGTCGATCACCTGCCACAAATGTATAGACATATATAAATGAGCTGCATGTGAATTTATTTAAGCAATAGACCACACTTTCTATGGGTTTACCGGCGTGATAACCCACTTGGGATGTTGGGAGAACACGAGCAAAGCTTGTAAATGACGAGCCGTTTCGGCCCGTGATTTACAAGCTTCTCGAGTAGAAAAGTATGAACGGAGTCTTCTAGGTAAAAAAATGTGGTTTTAGTACTGTGATCAAGTCATGTCTTCTCTTTAAAGTCACCATAAGCCAATCATGACTCACGATTTAATAGTGTCAAACTTTCTCAAAACTCAGTTCAGTCAAACAACAAACAGCAGCACTTCAAAACACGAGTTTTTGCATTCATTAAATGATAACTTATGAAATCTGTTTTACAGGAAAAATCAACACATATTAATGCTAGGCTACTATGAAGGAATACGTTCATGGTTTGTTTACTACAAGTAGAAAATTGCATATCAAAAACTGTACGCAGCTGTAAAATTTCTTGCTTGCCTTCCTCTCCTAGGATTTTCGAACATCTAAAAAAATGGTATAATTGCCTATTTTTAAAGCATAGTATCAAATATTTTACAGCCGAGAGCTGCTTTTAGTTTGCTAAGGTTCGTGTGTCGTCTCAAACTGAAGAGGGCATGAAGAGCTTTCTCCTTGAGATGTTCACGTGACACTGAAAAATTTCCCCATCACTGGGAAGGGAAAGCTACAGCTTCAATCCAATTCAGTCCCATTCAATTTATTTCTTCACAATGTGTTAGCTAATACTAAGTTACAGCCTTTACTAACAGGCTGTAGCTTAGTTGTTTACAGTTATAAACGTTTCTATCTAATAGAATATTAAAATTCGAGTATAATGACCAAGTAAACCATTCGGTTTTCTAGTTGGCCACCATAACAACATCACGTTTCGTTTAAAAATGTATACAGGCGAGGAACCAGAAAAAGCGAAAAGAAAAAAAAAAAAAGAAAGAACAAATTCATAACAATTATAGCAAAATACTAAAGTGAAAAAAGTAAGTTGGGCAAGTTTTAAAGAAGTGATTTTAGTAGAGCTGAGGGTAATGTTTGCTTTCAACAAGTCTTGCTAGGACAGTAGATAACGGTTTCATTTTTTTTTTTTTGGACAAAGAGTATTATTCAATTCTTTATTAAAGGTATTGTGAAATGTGCCTCCAAAGATCCATTGCCTTAAATAAAATCATTGCTTGCTAGTATTCGGTCTTACACGAGGTTTATATAGTTTTGTTGGGTTGAATATCTACAAGAGAGTTGATATCTAGTATTGTAATCATCCGGGACATCAGCGTAATCGAAAGTGTCCGCGCGAAATATTTACTGGTAGTAAACCGTAATGCCAGACTTAGATGGGTACATTTTAAAGCACATAGAAAATGAACGTTATATACCATACATACGTCTAGCAAATTAGTAACTTTTTTTGAAACCCTCATAATTTTCTTCCAGACATAGAAAATGCAACCTTCCATGTATTACGCAGTAAACACCCCCTGATAGAGGTCGGCTTTTCAGTTATGTCTTTTAAGTACAGGCCTTTTTTTAACAGAGATTGACAGAGAAAAGTAATGAAATATTCCCTTATGCTTGTATCCGATTGTTACTGACCTCAGGATCTGTAATATTAAAAACATCACGATCAATATTTAGGCTGGTCAAAGAAGTGTCCCTCAGATATAAAGTGTTTCTAAATCAAGACGAATGGAAATTTTCTTGAGAGTGGTTAAAATTAGGCATTTCTATGGTCAGCCTTCAGCTAGCGACAAGAAAGAGAATGAAAGGTTAATATATTAATGTAAGATTACATGACAGTGCACTTGTGTAAGCAATCAGGAGGCTAAACATTTTTGCTAATTCCATGAGATGCACTCACGCTTAGCCGTTTCCGTATCACGAATCTGCAGTTACGGAAAATATCAATAAATAAATATTATTCAGTCACCTGTATTACGCGGTCTCCACAGTGAAGTTGCAAAAGATACAATTTTCATCAGTTATGTTTCATGTTGCCAAAGTTTTTTTCTTTTTCTTTTCGTTCCTTTTTATTTTCAAGCCCGCCATCGAGCTCCCCCTAACGACGCGACAGCAGATCATGTTGACCGTATGATTGAAAAATATAAAGCTTGGAGTTAAAATGGAAATTCAATACAATATTGACCGCCAGCTCCATAATCCTATAGTCATGCAATCACAAAAAGAAACGTGGTTTGTCGGATCTTAACGTAATCTGTCTTTTCAGGTCCCCAGTCTTTTGGTTGTGTAACTATTTCACTCGTGAGTCTTGTAAAACGCGACTATGATGACTACCCATCAAGGGGGGGAGGGGAGGTGGGGGGTGTTATTGATTAGCCTTTAACGAAACCGAGTCGGCTTAATTCAGTAACTGATTTATAAATATCTATCAGTAAGATGTTAAGGAAGAAATGAAGTCACAGCGCACAAATTGCGAAGCAAAAATCTGAGGCGCCTTGTCTCAAAGATGTGACGCAATCGAGCGAACAAGATGCATGCAGGCGATCTCGTTCGCTCTAGCAAAGCTTTCCTCCTGTTAACTTGTCACCTCATTAGGTGAAATAAGCACTTTCTGGTAAATAGTAGGAAAATAACCAACCTTACTTAAAGAATTGTGCCGTTTGATCGTCTTATGGTCAGAATCTGTTATGAACTCAACGCGGACATCAACATGGAAGCAGTACTAGAGTTGACACAATTAAGTAAATATTAATTCTTAACTCAGCTGTATTGTACTTGAGGATAAAGTTACTGACATTAATGCGCGCGTCAGTCACTTGAAATGCCAGCCCCCCGACCTCAGTGACATAGCGGAGATTTATATAAAAAGCCACTCAGGATTTACGTCATTATAACCAGTGACCAGCAGGTGTCATCGGAAGCAGGATCAACGAGAGGGATTTGGCTTGCGGTATTCTCCGAAAAGAAAATTTTGACTGTTTTGTTTTTAGCCAATAATAAATAGTGGATAGCTTGACGAGTGCGCTATCCAGTTGTGGGTGTCCGCAGGAGGTTGATAAGCAAGAAAGAAACGTTAAAGTCACACAAGGAGATGCTATACCCGAGTGCAACACTCAGCTTCTGAATGCTTAGTTGAAGTCAGTTTATTTGCACTATAACATAGTCAAAAAAGAAATTTTAAGACTTTTAATTTGCTTAGCGCTCGTTTACAGTGTTGTCATGTGCGTCGTCTATGTCGCGTACAAATCATTTCTTGGAAAATGGTTCAAACTAGAAGTACAGTCGAAGCTCTCTAGCGACCATAAGCGACCAGTTCTAGTTACGACCACGTCTGTGAAAACCCGTTTGAACTGTACGACCACGTCTGTGAAAACCCGTTTGAACTGTGACTGAAACTTTGTAATGAAAAGCTCTCGTAGGCAATCGCGACCACTTTGGGCGTTACCCAGAGTCTTCATACAAATCAACACTTTATCAAAACCTCACATTGGGAATGCGCTGTTAAATTTGAAGTTATTTTGGCCTAAGAAATTTAGAAAATTTAGCCGTGTCTATAAACGTAAACGTCACTTTCTTTTGTTTTATTTGTTTTTTTGTTTGTTTTTTATGAATTACTAAGGGACGTACCATTAGAAAAAACCGGAGGTGGGGTGACAATTCCCCCCACTCCCCCCCAAAAAAAATTCCTGCTAGGAAACTTGTCTAAAAAAAAACTCCTGCGAGAGGCGATACTTAAAAAAAAGTTATTGCAGCGGAAGCGATATGCATAGCATTTAAGGTTATTAAAAGCATGGCATTTTGGGAAAAAGGTTTAAACATAAACAATGCCTAAAGATAAAGAGAATTGAAATTCTTAATTTGTGGTTTAGTACTTTTATTTGAAAACAACTGTTTGATATTTCTTCATACAACAAAACATAAATCGTAACAGTAAATAAATGGCTTGCTTTCTACACAGTCATCATTACCACTGATATTGCTATCAGAAATAATTATACTTTAAAATCTCTCTCTTTAACTGGCATTTTCTCAGTTAAAAATGGAAATTTTCAACAATAAATAACAGTATAGTTATGTTTTAATATGAAACCATTAAAACAACAAAATGTATTGGACACATTGAAGTGCCTCTGTGTCTTAAAGTGATGTTACACGGGACGATTCGCAACGACGGTTTTTTTGCGCAACACGGCGTTGCAAAGCTGGAACAATGTTGTAACCATTCGAAACAATGTCGTAACAATGTTGCAACGCTGTGTTGCGCTATAAATCGTCGTTGCGAATCGTCTCGTGTAACATCACCTTAAATATTTGAATAGTAACAATCTATATTATGACTCAATTGTGTAATGGAAACTTGGGAAGTTCCCAAAAATAAATATCTGACAGTGTAATTTTGGTTTTAATATGAAATAGTAACAATTGTCAAAATAAAAAAAATATATACTGGATCAATTGAAGTGCTACTGCTTTTTATATAACTATTGATATTCTGGCTCAATTGTGAAGTGGAAATTTCCACCAATAAATAACAGTACGTATAATTTTTTGTTTGCGAAACAGTAACGACTGACAAAATAACAAAATATGTACACCATATTCCAAAATGGCAGATATTCTTTTGTCTTATAATATTGTCTCGTCTCAATGCCACGTTTCAAGGTACCGGGGTAACAGTCTTTTTTATTTCTGCAGATCAAGAGGGGATAAAGGGGACAGAAAAGGCCTCCCCCATACACACCCTATTCCATAGGTAATTCGTCTGGAGTTATTTTTAACACCACAGATCTCAAGGGGGATTAGACAACAGCCAATCACATAGCGCGAATGTGTTCAGCGTGGATGACCCAGGCTCAGAGCCACGCGTCCTTCACGAATTGACGCAGAACAAAATGGCGGAGGACGTGAGAGCGATATTGCTATTTGTTTTGTCGACGAAAACGACTACAGAGAGATTTCTGCTAAAGCTGTGTCAGAGAAACGGAAATTAAAAAAGAATCGCCCTTCCTCTCTTGTATAGAGCTAACAGTGCAGCAGGGAAATCCTTAACACACTGAATATTCTCTCAGGATCATTTATAATTTACAGTTTGAAGAGAGCAATTTTTAGTTTGATATTTATTCTTTTAATAGTCTTTTATTGTTTAACAAAAATAACATTTGGCGTCCTACTTGCTTTATTGTACAAACGACCGGTTTCAATAGACCGGCGAAATTTCTCATTTTATTAAAGCACTGAGGTTACCACAACTTCGAGTTAAACTGATTTCACGGGTTGTCAAAGAGTCCAGCGATTCCCTTTTCCCAGGTGAGCGCCGACTCATTTCGCTTCAATATTCAGGAATGCTCTCGATCTCTTTACGCTTTTATAGCCTTTCGCCCAACATGTTTTGCACGAAGTTTAGTCGTAAGAAACCTGCACGAAACGTCCACGCAGCGCGCGAGGTAACTTTATCCCGATTCTAAAAATAACTCGACACCAATTACCTATGGAATAGGGTGCGTATGGGGGATACCTTCTCTGTCCCCTTTATCCTCTCTTGATGATAGTTATAACGTATTATTAAAAAGTAGATAAACTGGGATTCCATCCTAGCAAGCAAGGGAGATAAATGATACCTGGAGTGTTACTTCTGTCTTTGATACATGTTGATGAAATTTTCTTTTTTATGCTCAAATTCTAGAAGCGAATGAAGTGTATTACTTCTTCACCTCTAATAAGATCTAATAATAATTTAGAACTGTTGGGGCAGCAGCAATTCTTTCAATAAATTAAAAATATTGCTTTAAAAGTGCCAAAAGGGGATTTTATAAACAAGGGCGGCCCGTTGCTGCCAATATAGTGACCTCAAGCCAGGTGGAGGGTTTGGTGCGTTCCACAGGGTGCTTGTTTTCATATGTGCTGGGAGTGGTATTGAGCCGTCTGTTACACCGAGGTCTGGGTGGTCGCCTCTGACAGACAGGTGATGTATTGGGCGCCTAAGAGAAAACGGCCGTTGCACTCAAGTGCTTATCGACTCATTCTGCAGTGGGGCAGAGCTTTACGATTCGATACTGCACGGGCCGTAGCGGTGCACAGCTCATCGGGTCACACCATATCTCAGCTTCTGTCACGAAACAAGTCTGTTATAAGTGCTCATGCCCAGGAGGCCTGGTCTGTTGCAAGCGGAACTCACAGTCATTCTTGTGGCCTTTGCACTCACACAGAGTGTACGCTTTTCATCAGTTCACGCCATATTTCAGTTTCTGTTACAAAACAAGTCTGTTGTAAGCTTTTACTTTTTTTTCCAGTAGCAACACATTTAGGGTTACTTTGGGTTTAATTTCGGGTTTTCTTGGAAAGAGTTGTCGCTCCGAGAAGATTGTAACTGACTTTCAAACTAATATGCAGTTAGGTCAACTGGGTTTCCAACCCAGCAAACATGGGAGACAGGTGCTCCCTAACTCAGTACTGCAAGAAAACTCCGACTTTTATATAAAGTACTATACATCTACGTGAACTGGGATTCCAATCCAGCAAACATGGGAGGCGGGCATTCCCTGGATACTCTAAGTAATATATATAGTTAGTACAGGGACTACAACCAGCAAATATGGCAGACAGGCGCTCCCTGAACCATTGCAAGAATACTCTAAGTAACATATAGTTAGGTCAACTGGGATTCCAACCCAGCAAATATGGGAGGCAGGCGCTCCCTGAACTATTGCGCGGATGCTCTAAGTAATATATAATTCGGTCAGCTGGGATTCTAACCCAGCAAACATGGGAGACAGGCGCTCCTTGAACTATTACAACAGCAACTCTGACTTTTATATAAAGTAACTTATATCTAGGTGAACTGGGATTTCAACCCAACAAATATGGGAGACAGGCGCTCCTCGAACTATTTCATAGAAACTCTAATATTTGTAAAAAGCAATATACACTTAGGGTAACTTAGATTCCAGCCTAGAAACAATGGGAGTCAGGTTTTCCCTGAACTATTACATAGAAATTCTGATTTTGATATGAAGTAATACACACGTAGGTCAAATGGTCTACTAACCCAGAAACAATGGAAGACAGGTTCTCCTTGAACAATTACATTTAAACTTAAACAAAGCTAACTGAGTACATCACAAGGCTACCCGGGATTTAAACCCAGGAACAGTGGGAGGCAGGTTTTTCAGAACTGTTACGTTAAACTCTGATATTTATAAAAAGCAATATAACTTAAAAGCTAATTAAAATTTATCTGTTAACTAAATTCATCTAAGTTTATTTTTCTCACTTGTACAGTACCCTTGACCTTAAGGAAGGACCATTGGGATTTATACCCCGGAAGTGTCCATGGGATATGAGAACTCTCTTATTCCTTTGCCCTAATTCTTCACTTACTTAGCATCATCATCCCAATACAATGTACCTTACAACTAGAAACTTCAACCTGGGAAAACCGAGAATTACACCCAGAAATTCCCACGGGAGAGGAAAACTCCCTAATGCCTTTGCTGGAAACCTGCTCTTAAGGTGGCTCGATACAGTTTTTCAGGGCCAATACCTCCCAAGTTTGAGCATAAACTACGTCGCCATAAACAAAGTTTTGAAAAATTGCCACCACAGCTGTATTAGATAAAGATGAAAATTTGTTATGATCAGGTTTGCAACGGCATCGGAGTTGTCATAGCAACGAAATGACGCTATTACCTATTTTACTTGCAGCAGTATATCTCGGCACTGGGAACTGTTCTTCCAAAATCGTTCACGGGAGCTTTTTCCTCCAATAGCGGCCTCGATGTTCGTGAAGTTTAAGCGAAATCTGTAAGAGCGTTAACGAGATATTTTGGGATGAAGTTTTTGTGGTTAGAAATACAGAAAAAAATGGACAATATTGTTGTTTGGCCGTTATCTGTAGAAAATGAAGCGCTTTTTACATGCAATTTCACTTCATAGTAGTTTCAATCTTTTTAAAAACGTGTGTGAAAAATTATGGAGATAGCTCCAGCCGATTGCTAGAAAGAAGGGTTTTATTAGCATATATCGAGGCGCTCTGGTTAGCGGTTTTGTAAACATTTTGGTCTTCTTGAACAAATTGACGAATAGTTTTTAAACCGCTAGATAGATTTTTTTTTAAATTTAAGATTCTTGAGATTAACCTTTCTTTTATATGACCTTTTAGTTTCAAGATTATTGATACATTGTAAGACAGTAAAAGTGTCCACGCCGGAGAAGAGAACTCCCTGATCCCCTTGCCCGAAAACTGCGTTTAACAATTTGACTTGCGTCACGGTGTTTTACTCTCTTCTTGAAACAGTTCATCGCTACCATCTTAAGTTTAAATTTATCTTGAAAGCCAGGTATTCGAAAGCAATAAATAAGGGGGTTGATTACTGACTCTAGTGCAGGCACAAGATACGTCAACATCCTAACTAAAAATGAAGGCTTATAGCACGAACAAAGGTGAGAAATGGATATATAAAGCACGGGAATGACCCACGTGACCACAAAAGTACCTGCCACCAACAAAAGTGTAAGAGCTAAGGCTTTATCCTGGTTTGTAGCCGTGTTATGCTTGTCTTTTTTTCTGCGATGAACAGATACCCATATGCTTATGTAACTTGTGATCATGGTGATAATTCCAGCAGCGATCAAGACTGGTAAAGTAAACTCAAAAAACACAGAGTTGTACGTGTACAAGCTCAAGAATGAAGTCGTAGCTGCAATTGCTGCCGATAATATCCAGCTCAACACCAAGGCTGTTTTGTAGACGCCGCACCCTAAAACTTTGTGACGAAGAGGCCAAACGATAGCGTGCATTCTTTCTATGGCAATTAAGCACAGGGTTATGTGACAAGTAAGTTTGGTGAACATATTTAAGATGCCGAACAAACCAAAACTAATGTCGGATGGATTGAGTAGATAGAAAACGGTTGACGTCATTCCTGTAGCGCCGAACAGAAGATCCGCCACGGTAAGATTGATAATCATGAAATGCCTACGGGTTTGCAGCAACTTGTTTTTCGTAAAGGAATATAGAGTCAAAGAGTTAATCACAGTCACTATAATCCCTGTAACGGCAAAGGCAACGCTCCAAACAATCCGCAATAAGTCACTTTCCATGGCTAACGGTAATCCTCGAAATCTCTTCATCGTGATCTCATGTATGGTTGTGCCTGTATATCAAAAAAAAAGGACGCATTTGGTTTTATCCGTTTTTTTTCCATCCAAATCAGTACATAATAAATACCCGATAATAAGAACCTAGCGGATTATAGAACCTCCAGGCAGAAATTTGGCACTTTAATACCCAAAAATTCAAGAACCTGTTCATCTTAACCAAACAAGACCCAACAGGTTCTTATCTGTGGGTTACGGTTAAATTATTATTAATAACCAATTTAACCAAGAGTAGGCTAAGGAGTGTAACCTCGAGATTGAAAATTTAATTTTTTTGGAAAAGACCGGACTGTACCAAAATGATATGAATTTGGTAATCAGCTTTGTTGAGGTTCAATAAACCTGTGACTAAATACTGTGAGTATTTTTTTCTGGTAATCAACAACCCATTATCTCCTTCACAAAAATGAACCTAATTAAGAACCTACTTAGCGTAAATTACTAATAAGTACCCTAAAATACAAGACCCTAAATTGCCAGGCAGACTTTAAAAAAAGTAAGTTTTTATTCGCCTGTGTTTACTGAGTATCTTATTGGACCGTTTAGTGTGCTGTACAGTATCTGGTCCTTGGTCCGCGTGTAAAAGTCATTAACTTGAATATCTTACCCGAATCTTCACGTAACGAGCTGAAATACTCCCTGAAGATAGCTTTTATGTTCCTGTCGATAATCCTGAAGTTTCAAGTTCCAGACATAAATGTTTTGCTTGGAATTCGCAAAGAGGCGAACGTTTTCGATGGTCCTTGGTCCGCGGATCTGGTCCTTGGTCCGCGTCTCAGGTAAGCAGCACGATAAAAACGTAAAAATGTAAAAAAACGATAAAAACGATAAAACGATAAAAACGTAAAAACGTGATTATCACAGTATTTCTTGTATTTTTTTTCTTTTCTTGATGCAATTAAGCTAAAGTTTTTTTCGGAAGATGTTGTGAGCAAAAAATAATCTGCTTCTCTTTCAAAGAGTTCAGACAACAGTCTCCTCGAGTCTCCCACACGAGCGTCGACGAGCGGTTTTTAGCGCGGTCGAAAATAATTACCCAAAACTCTGTATGTATCCGAGGTATTAAAAAAAGAGAACTTGTAGACATGTATAGGGACGACTTTCAAAACATTCTTCGAAAACAAAGGCCGTCGCTTTTTGCTTTGGGAAGTTTTATTCAACCAAGGTCATAGGCCGCGGACCAAGGACCGCTAAGCGAAATTTGGTGATATTTTTCAAGAGTCGCTAAAACAAAAATTCAGAGTCTACAGCAATATGCTTCCAAGAGCAGAAATAAGCTGATCTGAAAACCTGTTCTGCAAAAAGGCAAGTCTTCCCGTTACGTTTTAGTTATTCGCAGGCTAAGTAAACATGACCATGTAATTTACGTTGCCGCAAAAATCCAAACTTCAAGAAAGACAAATTAACCTACTTGTCAACAAACTTTAATTTCGCGTCTTCACCAGCAGCAAGAAAGCTGAAACTTCGTCATATGAAAGAATGCTAATCAGTTAATCACGATATCTTTCATCATTCAACGTATTTTTTTTCTTGACGAAATATTTTATCATTTTCGGAAAAGACGCGGACCAAGGGCATCGGGGACTTCCGCGGACCAAGGACCACATACTGTATCGTGAAATGATATTACGAATCGCGCTCACGGTTCGTATGAGCACGAACTTCATTAACTGACCTCTGGAGCCAGAGTAGTATTTTTAAGGAGGGGACCAAATACAAGGAAAGAGTAAACATATTCCACGATACTAGACACTGAACCTTTCAACGTGGGCTTCATTAGCCTGGGGTTCATCGAAGTTATGCGTTATACACCAGGCTTGTTCTGTCAAGATTGCCTGGCCAAGTTCATTTCCGTCCATAAAAACAGAAAAATTATAGAAAGTTGAGGTCAGTAAAAAGCCATTTAAGAAAACGAGGCCAATTTTTAGCCATCTTGACCGAACAAGCTTGCCGGGACAATTAAGGATTTATTGTATGGCCATATTTAGAGAACATTTTTTGCTGGACCAACCGGGAAATTCCGAGCGGAAAAGATGTGCCCATCAATCCATCTCATCTGATTGACTAGCCAATCAGAACGCAGGATTTTTCGCTCTATCTTTCCCGCTCACGGATTCAGCCATATAGTAAATGATTTTATCAGTTCTAAACTTAACGATAATAATCTTTTGTTCGTAGACGTGTACAAAAGAGCGATCATTAGAGTGAAAAGCTCGCCCTAAATGACTCATAAATCAAATGCATATCATTATCGCGGTGTTTGAAGCTTAATAATAAGAAAAAAACGTCCCTGGAACTTCGTTGGTTTTAACACAGTCCAACATTACGGGCTTAATTACAGGGTTTTAAACATGATCATTCCCTGAAATACATAAATTGGTAACAATTTTTTTCTGTTAAAAACAAACAACATTTTCGCCAATGCCTATATTGTCTATGTCACTCATGGGAATAAGAATTTATTTTAGTTGTGATTCAATTCATGCCATCCGACAATAAAACTGAAAAAGGAGAGTAGAAAAGTTTTGTAAAGTAGTGTGCTTTCTGTTGGCCTGTGTGGAAACTTGCACGTAGTAGTATTACTGCCCTCCTGGTACCGACCGTTTGTGTCTGCGATACAAAACACTTAAAACTGTTGATTTTTGAATAGGCTAAGAAGACAACGCTGACACTTAATTAGCATTATTTTTTTCTGTAACAACAAGCGGCAAAAAAACCCGTTCAACTCGCTTTAACTCAAGACGAAGATATAGTCACTGTGTAGTGTAATATATTGTGGCCCTTAATTTTTTACAAACGTCTTTTTTACTGATTGATTTTCTCAGAGGATGCAAACTGTCCTTAAATCAGTGCAAGGTAATTAGCACAAGGTAAGGTTGACGGTATCTGGTTTGAACAACAAGAAGTGACTAAACATACCTGGTAAAGCTTAAATTTTCTCAGTTTAGTGCAAGGTAAAAGTCGGCAACTCTTTACTGCTCAAAACAACACCTCTCATCTGTAAATCAGTCAGTCAAAGATGTCAAGGGGTGATATTGGCAACAAAGTAAGCCAATATCGTAATTATACAGTAATAAGAATAACAAAGACTAATGACTTAGATGAATTATAATTCCACCAGGTGCATGTAATCTTTAAGTTTAGAAGATAAACCCCAATATTATGATAAACGCCCTGGTGTTACCAATGGCCCATGTTCGTTATATTCTAACATGACTCAGAGGCTTTCTGGTCATTTTTCTAAATTTGGTTTGGTTTTCTTTGTGCTCAGCCTCTTTTAAAAGTTGCGGGGCAATGGAGTCGTGAAAACTGCGCAATTTTGACCAAAAAGCTAAGGAGTCATGTTAGAATTTTGATCTATCGATTGTGGGTGATAAGATAAAGTATATTCTAAAACAGTAGATAGTGTTTTTCGCGAGCTCTGATTGGTTACTCATGATCAACCTTTCGGATATACAGTGTTGTTCACTGATTCACCTCCAGTTCCTCCGAGCGAGCAACGCCAAACTCGCGTAAGTTACGAGCAAAATGGCCTCCCGGTTTGCTGCCGTAATAAACAAAGAAATTTCACAAATAATCAAACAAGCTGTTCCCGAAAAACACGACGAAGATGACGAAATTCGGTTTGGAAGTTTTAATTGGTAAAGCTTTCAATTGTCTGTTTGACTTGAATTTATCAATGAAACGGGTGAAAAAGGTTTTTGTTTACAAATGCAAATTAACTGTCTTGCGTAATAGTTTATTTACCTGACATGTTCATAAATAAGGTTAAAACTAAATTTAATAGTTCTTTTTTTCACAGAATGGAGAACATATAGAGCGCCTTCCCGATATTAGCCTGTTCCAGGCTCTCAGATAGTGGGGAAGACGCGAAAGTAAAACGCACTCGAAAAGTTGGCGGGGCGAAAAAGAGGAAAAGGAAGGGAGTTTCCTCCTGTTTTATCTTCGTCTTCGCTCTTGCTCAATTCAGCGGGCCCGACTATCTCGGAGCCTGAAACAGGCTATCCCGATATCCATAACAATATCCGATGTTTGCACTTTTTTAAAATAGTGATATCTGCTAAAAGATTTTTAAATCTTTAATAAAGACCACCAAAAAGTCTTAATTAGTTCCTATTTTTCTTACCAAATCCCCGTTTTTTTTCTTTTCATCAACTAAAAGGAACCTCTACCCGAGTTACTAAAAATATAGTTTACCCAACTGTCAAAACACTTATAACCTCAGTTTCAGTCGATATTATGGCTAACCTATTACAACCTATTTTAATTTATTATTTATTCCCTTTTTTTCCCTTGTGAATTGTCCTTTTTTGAGCCCTTCTGAATTTTTCAACTGTCCCTGACCGTTTTTAAATTTCATCAGTTTAGACTCGTACGCAAAGATAAATGATAAACATACACCGCGTCATCCGTAATTCAGCCACTAAATTGCCTCTACACGCGCGGCAACGGAAAGCTGTTCTTACACGTCTAATCTTGCTTAGGGGGTTTTTCCACTGCGAGGCTACAGCACACTGACAACGGGCGTGCACTTGAAATATTTTGTTTTTGTAGCTGCGTCATGAAAATCTGGAGTTGACAACATCCAAATGACGAATAGTCAGAGAGTATTATGACCGTGACAAACGAGTCAATTACACTAAGTCAAGTAAATGTAATCAGATGTTAAAAATAAGCCAAAAAATGATCCATAAAACTATGAAAAAGACCATTGATAATGAACTTTTAGCAACATTTGCATACGCTTTTGCGCGAACGTTACAAAATTAAAATGCTCGGGCCGACGATTTTATTTCTTATTCTTCGATCCCTTACTTTGTTAATGCCCGTTCGAGGCTTAATGTAAAACCATTGAATTGTTTTTCAACAAAAATAACAAAGCATAATTAGACATCAGCATTGGACTAAGAAGATGAATTTCATCTTTAAAGATAGTAACTGTGAATCCCTCAATGGAACATCGAGAAGTAGGAGTGGCAAATGCCACTGAGGGAAAATTACTGATCAGCCTTTCGAAAATTGAAAAATTGAACAGAAATCTCTTTCATGAAGCCGGTTTAGTTCGGCCGGCAACATATAGGTCAAAACAATCAAGTCTTTTGTTCGACATTTCCATTTAAAAGTCATTCAATACTAGTTCATTAGTAACTCCTTACGGCCTGACGTAGACTGTAATTATCATGCAATTATCAAAAAAATTGGCCATTTCAAAGTAAGCACCTTTTACATTGCTGTTTGTAATAAGCGAGTCAGTCATAAACAACTCGTAGGTAGATCAAGACAGAAAACTGTCTTTTTCTCCAGAGAGCTTTTACTATCTTTATCAAATGGAGGAGGTTTGTCATGAGCGTTATTTAGTTAAATAATATCAGTCCAAGAGTCGGTTTTCAAAAGGAAGAGAATCCCATCCATTGCCGATTGCTATTCAGGTCGATATAATATTTCGTAAGTAGTTCTTAAGAAAAAAGAGAGTTAGCGTTGGTGACTGAGAAAACGCCTAAACTGGGTAACAGTTACAATCTGCTTACGGGAAGCGTGCTACGAGGCAAGTTTGCCGATTTTTTTCTTTTTTTGTGTGTTCATTGAATTAGACAAATAGATAAGATTCCTTTGTGCCCCCAGTTGCGCAGGTCTTTTCGGCAATAGATCACAGAAGAAGTCAAAATGTCTGCGGCTCATGTGCCAAAAACACATTTTAACATTACTGAACAGACACGCGGCAAAAAGGAACCAAGTGGCAAACTATAACAGGGTTCATACAAAAATTATTGCAACCACCATTTTTCAAGGACATAGATTTTCAAAGATCACCTACTAGGGATATATTTTCACAAATTGTACAAAAATGCGCATTCCCAGTCTATTCTAATAAGACTTGAAGGCTTGAACCCTTTTGCTTCACGAACTTCTCTACATTTTCCAGTTCACTTGTCTTAAACTGATGGTTAATTAATGCATAAAACATTGACCACTTTATGTAAATAACCTTAAATTCTCTAAGCTATGATTTATTTTCTGCCTTGGACAACCAAAAAGCATCAAAAAATTATTTCCAGGCCAGTGCATTCGAAGTTGAAGAAAATTCAAGGACTTTTCAAGGACTTGCACAGAAATTTAAGGACCTAGAAAAATGGAATTCAAGGACCTTTTGAGGACTTCCCCAAAATTCACGGACTTTTCAAGACTGTGCTAACCACGAACCCTGTATAATTTGTGATTCTCTTAGACATTATAATTCACGAAAGAAGAAATGTGTGGGGAAAAAAATTCGTGCAAAGCTTGTGCCTCAGAAAAAAAAATTCTGCAGACAAGTGGGCTTAACTTCAGTCTATGATAGTTATAACTTACTATTAAAACTAGATAAACTGGGATTCCAACTCAGCAAGCAAGGGAGACAGGAGCTCCCTGGACTGAAACTTCAGTCTATGATAGTTATACTAGATAAACTGTGATTCCAACCCAGCAAGCAAGGTAGACAAGAGTTCCCTGGACTGAAACTTTAGTCTGTAATAGTGATAACGCATTATTATCCCAAGATTAACTCCGCAGGAGCTCCCTTGACTGATACTTCAGTCAAAGATAGATGATACTATTAAAACTTCAGTAGACAGACATGAGCTACTTGGACTGCAACTTTAGTCTATAATATAGTTAAAACTTACTATTAAAACTAAATAAACTGGAATTCCAACCTAGCAAGCAAGGGAGATTGAAGCTCCCTAGACTGAAACTTCAGTCTTTGATAGTTATAACTTACTATTAAAACTAAATAAACTGGGATTCCAACCCAGCAAGCAAGGGAGTCAGGAGCTCCCTGGACTAATACTTCAGTCAATGATAGATGAAACTTACTATTAAAACTAGATAAACTGGGATTCCAGCCCAGCAAGCAAGGGACAGAGCAGCTCCCGAGACTGATACTTCAGTCTATGATAGTTATAACGTATAAATAAAAAGGAGATAAACTGGGATTCCATCCCAGCAAGCAAGGGAAATAGATGATCCCTGGAGTGTTACTTCTGTCTATGATACATGTAGATGAAACTTTATTTTTTATGCTCAAATTCTAGAAGCAAATAAAGTGTATTACTTCTTCACCTCTAATAATAATTTAGAACAGTTGGAACAGCAGCAATTCTTTCAATAAATTAAAAATATTGCTTTAAGTACTAAAAGGGGATTTTACAAACAAGGGTGGCCCGTTGCTGCCAATACAGTGACCTCAAGCCAGGTGGAGGGTTTCTTGCTTTCCACGGGGTGCTTGTTTTCATACGCGCGGCGAGTGGTATTGAGCCGTCAGTTACACCGAGGTCTGGGTGGTCGCCTCTGACCAACAGGTGATGTATTGGGCTCCTAAGAGAAAACGGCCGCTGCACTCAAGTGCTTATCGACTCATTCTGCAGTGGGGCAGAGCTTTACCATTCGACACTGCAAGGGCCGTAGCGGTGCACCGCTTATCGGGTCACGCCATATCTGAGCTTCTGTCACGAAACAAGTCTGTTGTAAGTGCTCATGCCAAGGTGGCATGAGCGCTGAACTATCTGTATGACTGGCCGACATGTACAGAAAACGAAGTGTTTTTAATGCAATTTCAGACCTCACAGTAAGTTTCACTCAATTTGAGCACCGATTGTGTAAAAACGAATGCGAAACAGTCCATCATGAGGATAGCCTTAGCCGATCCAGCTGCCGATTGCTAGAACATCGCACTAAGATTTGTCAAGATTTAATTAATATATTATACTGACATTAATGAGTTCCTCCTGCTCGCGTTTTTGTAAACATTAAGTCTCCCAAAGCCAAAAGTTGCTCAAAAGTTGCCGAGCACAAACGGAACAGTTAGGCCTTCAGTTACTGTAGCGGGTATTGCTGGTGATGCTTTTTTTTAAATCTATAGATCTTTTTTATTTTTCCTGGTCACAGTTTTAAGGGTTGATAACGCCATCCACTGGATAAAACTCTGTCTGGTGAATAACGGAACTAGTGTACCCCCTAATTCTCATCTACTGGATTGTGATTTATCTGCTGGATAGCATTATTATTTAATCTATCGTTTGATCAACAGAGTGCCAGCGCATATTGCTTCTACTTGCTAAAACGTAATAAGTTAGCAATTATACATGGTTGACTTGTAACCATGCCCCCCCCCGGACATCCCTGGGAATTTGCAATTTTTTTCTTTCTTGAAGGTCTATTCCCCACCCCCGAGGACACAGAAAGAGACAATAATTGAGAAAACTCGCACCGGGGCGAGTTTCACTGTGGTGTCTTCTTGATTTCATATCGCGTTTACATGTTTGCGCTTCCCGTTCCAGTCTACTCGCCAGACCGATTTCACACAGAAACGAGTGGTCGTTTCGCGTTTACATGAAACTGTTGTGAAGTTTCGTGCATGAGTGAAATTCTCGCTTCAGCACAACTACCGGGGTGAACTCACGCCGTCGTACCTTGCGCCGGTCCCATTTTGTGGTGATGTAAATAAATACGGAGCCACGAAGGGGAACCGGAGTGAACTCGCGCCGTCCCTGTAACATGCCCCTGAACATGAACATGAACATGTTTATCAAAACCAGGTTTTAATGTTAATCAATCATACGTTGACATGATCCGATCTGCTTCTAAAGTTCCATAACGGTTAGCAATTAATAATTATTGGATTAATATTTTCGCCAGCTCTATACGTCAGAATAGGTAAGCAATAACCCGCCGCGCCGTATGCCCTGGACATCAAACAACAGTCAGTATCTTCCTGCTATTAACTAAAACGATTTTTTCCCTTTCGTTAAGTTTTTATTTTCTACTCCACTAAAACTTTAGTAACTTAGTCTTTATTATAGTGAATTAAGGATCACAGGACTGACAATTCCTTTTGGGTTTCGTTGCTCGGTGCGCTCTTCCTTTTACTTAATTCGGTTGTTGCGTCACGGTGTTTTACCCTTTTCTTGAAACAGTTCAACGTTACCATCTTTAGTTTAAGTTTATCTTGAAAGCCAGGTATTCGAAAGCAATAAATAACGGGGTTGATTACTGACTCTAGTGCAGGCGCAAGATACGTCAACAGCGTAACTGAAAGTGAAGGCTTATAGCACGAACAAAGGTGAGAAATGGACATATAAAGCACGGGAATGACCCACGTGACCACAAAAGTACCTGCCACCAACAAAAGTGTAATAGCCAAGCCTTTATCCTGGTTTGAAGCTGTGTTGTGCTTGTCTTTTTTTCTGCGATGAACGGATACCCATATGCTTATGTAACTTGTGATCATGGTGATAATTCCAGCTGCGATCAAGACTGGTAAAATAGACTCAGCAAGCACAGAGTTGTACGAGTACACGCTCACGATTGAAGTCGTAGCTGCAACTGCTGACAATATCCAGCTCAACACCAAGGCTGTTTTGTAGACGCCGCACCCTAAAACTTGGTGACGGAGAGGCCAAACGATAGCGTGCATTCGTTCTATGGCAATTAGGCACAGGGTTATGAGACAAGCAAGTTTGGTGAACATATTTAAGATGGCGAACAAACAAAAACTTATGTCTGATGGATTGAGTAGGTAGAAAACGGCTGATGACATTCCCGTAGCACCGAACAGAAGATCCGCCACTGTAAGATTGATAATCATGAAATGCCTACGGGTTTGCAGCAACTTGTTTTTGGAAAACGAATATAGAGTCAAGGAGTTAATCACAATCACTATAATCCCTGTAACGGCAAAAGCAACGCTCCAAACAATCAACAAGTCACTTTCCATGGCTAACGGTAATCCTCGAAATCTCTTCATCGTGATTTCATGTATCAGGTTGTGCCTGTATATCAAAAAAAGGACGCATTTGGTTTTATCCGTTTTCTTTTTTTTTTCTATCCAAATCAGTACATAATAAATACCCGATAATAAGAACCTAGCGGATTATAGAACCCCCTGGCAGAGATTTGGCACTTTAATATCCAAAAATTCAAGAACCTGTTCATCTTGGCCAAGCATGATCAAGCAGGTTCTTATCTGTGGGTTACAGTTAAATTATTATTAATAAAGGCAACTTCAGCAAGAGTAGGCTAAGGAGTGTAACTTCGAGATTGCAAATTCAATTATTTTGGAAAAGACCGGACTGTACCAAACTGATATAAATTTAATTATTGGTAATCAGCTTTGTTAAGGTTCAATAATACTGTGACTAAATACTGTCAGTATTTTAAGGACCAAACCTAGGTTAATTTCTTTTTCTGGTAATCAACAACCCATTATCTCCTTCACAAAAATAAACCTAATTAAGAACCTACTTAGAGTAAATTGCCAATAAGTACCCTAAAATACAAGACCCTATTTTGCCAGACAGACTTTTAAATAAGTAGGTTTTTATTCGCGGGTGTTTACCTAGTATCTTATTGGACCGTTTAGTGTGGTGTATCGTGAAATGATATTACGAATCGCGCTAACGGTTCGTATGAGCACGAACCCCATTAACTGACCTTTGGAGCCAGGGTAGTATTTTTAAGCTGTGGACCAAATACAAGGAAGGAGTAAACATATTCCACGATACTACACACTGAACCTTTCAACGTGGGATTCATTAATCTCGGGTGCGACTGTAGGGCTTGTTCTGTTAAGATTGCTACCTGGCCAAGTTCGTCTCGGTCCATAAAAAGAGAAAAATTAAAGGAAATCGAGGTCAGTAAAAAAGCCATTTAAGAGAACGAGGCCAATTTTTAGCCATCTTGACCGAACAAACTTCGACAATTAAGGATTTATTATATGGCCATAAAGGAAACATTTTTTGCGGGACCAACTGGGAAATTTGGAGCGGGAAAGATGGGCTCATCCCATCTCCTCTGATTGACTAGCCAATCAGAACGCAGGATTTTCCCTCTATCTTGCCCGCTGACGGATTCAGCCATATAATAAATGATTTTATGGTTCTAAACTTAACAATAATAATCTTTTGTTCGTAAACGTGTACAAAAGAGCGATCATTAAAGTGAAAAGCTCGCCCTAAATGACCTCATAAATCAAGCACATATCATTATCGCGGTGTTTGAAGCTTAATAATAAGAAAAAAACGTCTCTGGAGGAACTTGGTTGGTTTTAACACAGTCCGACATTACGGGCTTAATTAGGGTTTTAAACGTGATCATTCCCTGAAATACATAAATTGGGAACAATTTTTTTCTGTTAAAAACAAACAACATTTTCGCCGATGCCTATATTGTCTCTGTCACTCATGCAAATCAGACTTTATTTTAGTTGTGATTCAATTCATGCCATCCGACGATAAAACTGAAAAAGGAGAGAAGAAAAGTTTCGTAAAGTAATTTGCTTTCTGTTAGCCTGTGTGGAAACTTGCACGTGGTAGAGTCAATGCCCTCCCGGTACCGACCGTTTGCGTCTGCGATACAAAACACTTAAAACTGTTGATTTTTGAATAGGCTAAGAAGACAACGCTGACACTTAATTAGGATTATTTTTTCTGTAACAACAAGCGGCAAAAAAACCGGTCAACTCGCTTTAACTCAAGACGAAGATGTAGCCACTGTGTAGTGTAATATATTGTGGCACTTAATTTTTTACAAGCGTCTTTTTTAATTACTGATTGATTTTCTCAGAGGATTTAAACTGTCTTTAATTCAGCGCAAGGTAATTAGCACAAGGTAAAGTTGACCGTATCTGGTTTGAACAACAAGAACTGACTAAACATACCTGGTAAAACTTAAATTTTCTCAGTTTAGTGCAAGGTAAAAGTCGGCAACTCAGTCTCTTTACTGCTCAAAACATCACCTCTCATCTGTAAATCAGTCAGTCGAAGAAGTCAAGGGTCGATATTGGCAACAAAGTAAGCCAATATCGTAAGTAATTAGAATAACAAAGACTAATGACTTAGATGAATTATAATTCAGCAAAGTGCACGTAATCTTTAAGTTTAGAAAATAAACCTCAATATTATGATAAACGCCCTGGTGATACCAATGTCCCATGTCCGTTATATTTAAACTCTAACACGACTCCGAGACTTTCTGGTCATTTTTCTATATTTGGTTTGGTTTTCTTTGTGCTCAGCCTCTTTTAAAAGTTGCGGGGCAATGGAGTCGTGAAAAATGTGCAATTTTGACCAACAAGCCAAGGGGTCATGTTAGAATTTTGATCTATCGATTGTGGGCTATTACATAAAGTATATTCTAAAACAGTGGATAGTGTTTTTCGCGATCTCTGATTGGCTACTCATGATCAACCTTCGGATATCCAGTGTTGTCACTGATCCACCTCCAGTTCCTCCGAGCGAGCGACGCCAAACTCGCGTACGTTACGAGCAAAATGGCCTCCCGGTTTGCTGCCGCAATAAATAAAGAAATTTCACAAATAATCAAACAAGCTGTTCCCGAAATACACCTACGAAGAAGATGACGAAATTTGGTTTGGAAGTTTTAATTGGTAAAGCTTTCAATTGTCTGTTTGACTCGAATTTATCGATGAAACGGGTGAAAAAGGTTTTTGTTTACAAATGCAAATTAACTGTCTTGCGTAATACTTTATTTACCTGACATGTTCATAAATGAGGTTAAAACTAAATTTTATAGTTCTTTTCTTACAAAATGGAGAACATATAGAGCGCCTTCCCGATATTAGCCTGTTCCAGGCTCTCAGATATTGTGGAAGACGCGATAGTAAAACGCACTCGAAAAGTTGGCGGGGCGAAAAAGAGGAAAAGGAAGGGAGTTTCGTCCCGTTTTATTTTCGTCTTCGCTCTTGCTCAATTCAGCGGGCTCGACTATCTCGGAGCCTGAAACAGGCTTTCCCGATATCCATAACAATATCCGATGTTTGCACTTTTTTAACATAGTGATATCTGCTAAAAGATTTTTAAATCTTTAATAAAGACCACCAAAAAGTCTTAATTAGTTCATATTTTTCTCACCAAACCCCCGTTTTTTTTTCTCTTCATCTACTAAACGGAACTTCTACCCGGGTTACTAAACATATAGTTTACCCAACTGTCAAAACACTTATAACCTCAGTTTCAGTCGATATTATGGCTAACCTATCATAACCTATTTTAATTTATTATTTTTTCACTTTTTTTCCTTGTCGGTGAATGGTCCTTTATTGAGCCCTTCTGAATTTTTCAACTGTCCCTGATCGTTTTTAAATTTCATCAGTTTAGACTTATACGCAATGACCTGACCCTCCCACAACTGAAAGCTGATGGTGTCCCTTTAACCATTAAAAGTGTAGTAAGAGATGGAAGGTCTCTAATGGAGAGTTTAAAAAGTTGAAGGCCGAAAAATGTTAAATAATTCTAAATTTATCCTCCGCGGTTGGGTCAGAAAGGCCAAAATCAGTACAGATAAGAAGGTGGATGAAAGAAATTGAATATGCACTTTTTTACCAGGGCTTTTCAAGAATCTAACTAGCATTTTAGTCCTTTTGATATCAAATAAAAAAGGACGAGACGTACTCGAACACTACTCGAGTCCTGCACATTTGTCGGTCGTCGGTTCCCGAGCATTTTCCGCTGTCTCCCGGCCGGGTCCGGTCTCAGCGGCTGGTAATCGAGCCTATATGTAGGTCATTTCCTGGGCTCTTTGTTTTGTTTTTGATTGTTGATTGTTTTACTCCTTCTTTCTAAAACCTTCGTCTTAGTTTGCTTTTGAGTGATTCATCTCAGTGATACGCAGGAGTGGGTATTCCAGAGAAATAACAAGCTGCTGATAGCAATTATTATTACTCCATAATATCAGTAAATTTGTTCGTGTTCCCCCACCTAAATTTGGAGCTTAAGTCCTAAAAATCATGACGGCCGGGTACTCTCTTATAAGGGGACATTTGCTCTTCATTACGACTGAATATCATAAAATTGCTCAATAAAAGCTTCTAGATTCCCTTTCCCTTTCCCAATCGACGTTATTATAACTTAAAAGAGTTTTTTTTTCTTCTTTTTAACCTCAAAATCTATAATTAGTTGATTTTTGTTCCATAACTTAATTTGCTGACCGGCATCACATAATGGGGCCGAATGGTCGTTTTTGATTTAAATGATGCTTTAGAGTTTTAAATCATTTGAATTTCTCATTTTGGCTTTTGGACAACACTTTAACACTTAGCGCATGTAATCTTTTCTTTAGCAAACAGATTAGAGTCGTCGTAAAATGAAAATGTCACCATGACCTGTATACATGTAAATACACTATATCAATAGCACGTAGGAAGCATAATTAGAGATTTCAAGGATAACTGTGTGTCAGTATATCATGATTTGGCAACAATGTGCACAACTATTAGTAAAATACCAGGACATACGAATACTGCAGACAGCTTTATCGGTCAGTGCAAAGATGAGCTAATGTATAAGTCGGGAGTCCCCATTCAGTGATCGAAAGACGTTTATTCCGGCAGCAACATAGGAGGCAGGGAAGGATTACCAATAGGAGAGGAAACTATAACCATCTGGTTTCTGGTCCAGAAGCTCTACCACTAAGCTACAGGAGTTTCGTGGGGTTAAGGCCACGATAAACAATCATTTTTGAGGCCGAAAAGTGGAAAGTTTGGCTGGCCATTTCTACTTTCTGTCGGCCTGTGAAACCAGCACCTGTTTACTGTGTAAGGATTTAAGTTTCTCAATAATAAAGCAATATAACTGTAACAAGTTTTTTTCGATACAAAGAAACACCACTTGCTCAGCTGATTTTGAATAGACTAAGCTGAAAGAGAATGCTTTGAGGAAAACGCGGGTACTGGGGAGATATCTTTTAAGTGTCAGATCGGCAGTTGCAACCTATACTTTCACAGATTTCTACCGCGCAGGAAAGTAACATACCTGCAAAGCTTCTTTTCCTACCTGATGGTAGACAACCCAGCTATTTCAGATGCTAACCTCGTAGTAATGATACGCATACACCGCGTCATCCGTAACTCAGTCACTAAATCGCCTTTACACGCGCGGCAACGGAAAAATGTTTTTACACGTCTAATCTCGCTTACAGGGTTTTTCACTGCGAGGCTACAACAGAAGTGCAAGTGTTTTGTTTTTGTAGCCGCGTCAAGATGGAGATCTGGTTTTGACAACATCCAAATGACAAATAGTCAGAGAGTATTGTGACCGTGACAAACGAGACAATTAATTAAAAGTAAGTCAAGTACATGTAACCCAGATGTTAAAAAAAGCCAAAAAAAAGGATCTATAAAACTATAAAAAAAGACCATTGATAATGAATTTTAAGCCACATTTACATACGTGTGCGCGCGAACCAAAATTAAAATGCTCGGGCCGACGATTTTATTTCTTATTCTTCGATCCCTTACTTTGTTAATGCCCGTTCGAGGCTTAATGTAAAACCATTAAATTGTTTTTCAACAAAAATAACAAAGCTTAATTAGACATCAGCATTGGACTAACAAGATGAATTTCATATTTTAAGCTAGTGACCGTGAATCCCTCGATGGAACATCGAGAAGTAGGAGCGGCAAATGCCACTGAGGGAAAATTACTGATCAGCCTTTCGAAAACTGAACAGAAATCTCTTTCATGAAGTCGGTTTAGTTTGACCTGCAACAAGATATAATGGTCTATTCAATTTCAACAGTTATAAATCAAAACAATCAAGCCTTTTGTTCGACATTTCTATTTAAAAGTCATTCAATAATAGTTCATTAGTAACTCCTTAGGGCCTGACGTAGACTGTCATTATCATGCAATTATCAAAAAAATTGGTCATTTCCAAGTAAGCACCTTTTACATTGCTGTTTGTAATCGGCGAGTCAGTCATAAACAACTCGTAGGTAGATCAAGACAGAAAACTGTCTTTTTCTCCAATTAACTTTACTATCCTTATCAAATGGAGGAGGTTTGTCATGAGACCGTTATTTAGTTAAATAATATCAGTACAAGAATCGGTTTTCAAAAGGAAGGGGATCCCATCCATTGCCGATTGCTATTCAGGTCGATATAATATTTTGTAAGTAGTTCTTAAGAAAGAATAGAGTGACCCACTCTACACCTACTCACTTTAGTGATATGATAGTATACTCCGCGTTCCATAATGGGCCTCTTATACTTGACTACACCTTAACTGGTTGGTAAAAAGATAGATTGAAGTTTTTACGATAACTTTAACTTGATCCTTATTAACTTTGTAAACACAAATTGAGATCGGACAGTGGTTGTTAACGAAGCTGTCCACGCTGATATTGGCCCGTTTACGAAAATATCCGTTTACGATGGCGTTTTACGCAACTCATCTTGACTTCACGCACAATGATGAACTTAATGGGCTCTCATGTGGGTATAACCTACCAGCCTCCCACTCAGTTTCCTCTAAATAAAGTGCAAGGTGGAAATTAAAAAGCTTTCGCACGTATCTCAATATCTAGTCTACTTAAATACGCTTATACTGCACATGTAGGTAGGATTGGCGTAAAGTGCAACCTAACTGATTTGTTGTGGTTAAATAAGCTTATAAAACGGCATTCATGTTGAGTAAATACTGGCAGGAGCACATGTAAACAAAATTCAAGAACTCTTTCAGTCTGTTCGCCAATTAGCAGCTGCAATTAGGAAAAAAAAAACCGGTTTAAAATTGAAAGAAACTTTCTCCCATGCCTACTTTTTAACTCTTTGAAGGAAAAGAGTGAAAGTATAGTGTTAGAACTAAAATGCAGTAGAACATATGAAAACGTAACGAGCAATTTTTAAACGGCAGTCGTACCGTTCCTCATATTAAATCAGCCCCATAATAAATCATTATTACTGTTCTTGAGATAGCTTGCCCACAAGAAAATGATATACCAACCTCTTTCTTTTAAGAGCCGTGTAAAAATCATCAAGTATATACTGAGGAAGAAACAAGAAATGATGAGTTAATGATACAAAGAAGACTGCACCGGCAAAGACCACATATCAGACTCACATGAAGCCCTCTTTTTCAGTCGAGTCCGGTGGGCCCGGCCTTCACCCAGTCGGCAGCGCCAAAATTATATATTTCAAAAGAACTTGAATATTCTCTACAAATCTATGACATGCATGATTTTGTTACTTTTTAGAATAAAAGGAAAGCGATGAGGTACCACCACAGTATCACAGAATCAGCTGAACTGTGTGGTTGGAGTGCAGCTTTTGCGGTGATGGCGATCTCGGTGGTGATGGTGAACACATTGACGTTGATGACCTTCATAAAAACCAAGTTTCTCTTGACGCGGAAACATGTAATCATCATTAACATCACTATTGCTGATCTTCTATTTGGAGCTGCAGGACTGTCATCAGGAATGTTATACCTACTTAAACCGTCGGAATTTTCTTTCTTCCTTCTTCGTGCCACAATCGGCTTCACAAAAATGTCGACTCTTATTTCCACCGGCGCGCTTGCTGTTGAGAGAATGTGCGCCATTGGTTTTCCTCTTCGTCACAAAGTTTTAACTAACAGAGTTTACAAGGTCACTTTGATATCCATTTGGATTATATCAGCTGTTAACACAATTATGGTTACACTCTACTGGGCTGACGTCTGGGGACATATACTGATGGCATCCGGGGGGTCACTTTTCTTTTCTACAGGAGTGGTTTTCATGGTGGTTTTTTGCCACGTCATTATCTGGATTTTATTCCGACAAAGTAATCGACGTCACAGACTACCATCTAATCCGCGAGACAAAGCATTAGCTATAACACTATTGTACGTCACCAGCGCTTTCATAATAACATGGGTGCCTCTGACGTTGTATTTATCAATTGCCCATGTTTGCAAAAGCTGCGTGAAACCAACACAAGAAGAAAGGATATCATTTGGCATACTTCTTGCGCTGGGTCTCCAGTCGCTTGTTAATACAGTCATTTACTGCTTTAGACTCCAAGGATTTATTGCTAGTCTCAAAGCCCTGGTGAAGAAAATAAAATGCTTAAAGAAAAAAGCGCCTAAAAGAAAAACTACCGTCCATCCAGAGGAACTTGACTTTTGCGCGGTGATTCCACCGCAAGAAATAAAGAACTAAAAAAAATTGAAGGATGTTGATACTTTGTAAATAATTTGTATGCTGAATTTTAGGTAATCTGTATCAAAGGCGAATTCAGTGTTGTGTCTAACGCAACAGAATTCTGTGTACTCTGTATAAATTATCAGTTGCTGTGGGACACATGCTGTTCCATTAACGTAGCCGCAAAAAGTCCTGTTGGAGCCCTCTCATGTATATTAATTTGTTTTTCAAAAGTTTTATTTACCCGTAACTAGTTGAGCGCTACGAGATAACAAATAGAACAATGTTTGTTTACATAAGTGGCTGTCTTTTCTTTCCGTTACTCTTGCCGGTTATATGCCCCAGCAAAAAAAAAAAACGTTCTAATAAAGTTAAATTCAAGTGCGCAAAAAGGTGACGGGGTCTCTCTGAAAAAAAAAAGGAGGGATAAAAGAAAGGGTTGGTCAAATATTTGTCCACGAGCTCAAGTTATATCCTTAAGGTTCGCTATGACTGACTGAGCACCTACATAAATAGGCTATAGTTAACTTTCACACACATTAATCCAACACTGGATTAGAGTTACGTTCCCACTCGTCGAACGTGACAAAAAACGATAGCTAAATGAATTCTAGGATTGAAAGGAACAGCGTGGTGCTGAAATGCAGAGGGCATTGGGGTCTTCAAAAACAAAACACTGAAACAATCTTTCTAGCGACTGCTTGTTACTTCTATTGATATATCACTTCGTCTCAAAAATTCCCAATTTACGGTGCATCTTTTTTCGTCCAAGAACAATTACGCACCGAACAATCCCCCTCCATCAGTTTTTTTTTGTTTTTGTTTTTATCGTTGTTGCTGATTGTTTTTGTTCTTGTTTGATTGTTTGGTTTTTACCGTCTGCTTCTATTGCCATTTAAATATCACATAAGTTGTTTACAACTGAAGCTCAATTGAGTTGACACGAGTTTGCTTAGTTACTGAGATATGATGCTTGGCTATAACTGTCACAAGAGGTAAACTCTAAACGAAGAAACTCTAAGGAAGTGACTGTAAACTAGACCGAAGGATCTAAGACAGTTATGGCGACCAAATTTTAAAAAGCATAAATTTAGGGGTAAAGATCCTTTACGTTTGCAGTATTCTTGTGTAATGTGTATTTTTTTTGTTGGTTTGTTTTGTTTTTTCCTTCAGTGGTAATCGTTTAAAAACTATTGCCTGGGTACCAGACTACTGCTTCATCGTTGCATTTATAAGGCAACCGATGTGCAAATTCAACTCTTTGAGTTTTAAAATGAACATACAGTTATTGAACAAAAACACTAGTCTTATTGCTACCTAATGATACACAGACAGAAGCCTAAGATGTTAGGGCAGTTCATGAATTTCTTGTCCCGCTTTTAGTCCCTAATCTGACGCCGTAGGTCATTCAAAAGTTAGTAACTTTCATTACATAGATATCTTTCTGGGCCCAGTTGTTCGAAGGCCGATTAGCACTTAACCTAGGGTTAAATTTAACCCGGGTTTCTTTTTCTTTTATTCAAAAGCATTTTCTCGGATAAGTTTCTCCGTTATTTTTAAGAGCATCCAATCATCAACTTGCCGACAGAAAGAATTAAACTGAATATACTTTTTAAGCGTTCAAATCTGAATTCAAATTTCGCACTAACCCCGGGTTATCTTAACCCAGCTTTGAACAACCGGGCCCTGGACAACAAGTACATTTAAACCATTCCATAACATTTGAGTTTACCAAGCGTGTGGTAACCTTCCTCATTCGAGGAGCCAGTATCTCCAAACCTTAACTGCTTTACCGGAAGATAAGTCTTCTCAGTGAGCAGACCACTGTCCTCGCGCCACACTTCGTCGTTTTTATCGCAGTTGCACGCACGATTAACGTCAGCGCACGTATTGCTTAACCCACATGCACACTTGTAGCGGTCAGAGGACGTTGCTCCACCCCAGTTTGTCATCGCAGTAGAATCACGTGACACCCACCACCCGTGCAGGTTCTCAACTGGATAGAAAAGAAGAGAGTTCTTGCACTCGTACTTGATAAACTGCTCACAGTGGGCTGAAACCGCAGTGAGTCCAGCTAGCTGTGCCAGGCTATGCAGTCCCACGCCAAAGTAAACAATATCCCTTGAGTAACTTCCATGTGCCTCGAATCCATTGACCTGCATTCTCGCTTCACTGTCGTGGCTTATGACTGTCAAGCCAACTCCGTTTTCAGCTATCATGTCACACTCGACAGTGAAAGAATCATTTCCTCCTTCTCCATCAGGGTCGATTCTGTAGGAAGCACTCATGGCTTTTGAGCTGTAAAGTTTTATCTCACTGCAGCTTTTACCTGAAAGTATGTAACAAAAAAAGGTCTCTCGCGTCGTTTATGTTATCGGGTTTTTTTTATTGTAGGACCAGAGCAAACACGATGACGAATATGATGATGATGATGATGTTTTTAAAACTGGTACGAATTCACTGCAATATTCCCTGAAGAGAGGGTGAAGACTGTGTCCGACAAGTAGGGGTTTACTGAAAGTGTGTTTGAAAGATATCGGGATGCAGGAATATGGAAAGTATTCTCTGGTTTAACGCACACCTTGTAAACTTTAGCTTCTCATAGACAAACAAATCGGTTGCAATAAAGATAAAATTTCACCTGTTCGTTCACAGTGTGTCCCAGCAAATCCTGGCTTGCAATCACATCGATATGAGTTCAGTTCAAAATCAGGTATACAGTTTCCGTTATTTTTGCATGGACCACTCTCACAACGAGACTAAAAAGCATGATTGAAGCAATAAATAAATGTAATTAGAAGGTTAATTGCAATGCAATGTACACAACATTCGGCCAATCGGCTTTCTAATATTAAAAATTTCACAGAATGGCTTATTTAAAAGTGTCTAAATTTTCTTCTTGAAAGATCTCGAACTTTCTCTAGTAATTATCTGAAATATCTTGTAAAACAAATTTATAATAATGTTGACAACGAACGCGCATTCGCCAGCTCATACAGAAAGTAAAGCTTGTAGAAGAATGTAATTGTAGTATTGAACTAGAAACACTTAAAAGCATCCATGATTCTCAATGTATTCATTTTAATGTCTATCCGCTCTATCGACCAACATAGAATGGAATCTCGACTTTTCGAACCTCAAGCCAAGGAAATTGTTCGAGTTATCTGTAGGTTTAAACAAATTGGGGGTAAAATAATAGTGCTTTTCTGCAGAAGGGAAGTTAGGTTTCGGCTCAAATTATCAGGGATTTCGGAAAACTGAGGGTTCGAGAAATCGGGACTCTCCTATACTTCGCCGATATAGTTCGCCTTCTTTTCACTGTAGGCGGAGACTGAGGGCAGGGTTATCGGTGATCAGAACTTTAAACATTTTTTCTTACTTAAAGACACCCTTACTTTATTCCTTTGCGCTTTACAGTCGAAAGTGATAATTAATATTGATTTTTTGCGTTACATATAATTGAAAAAGTGCCGTATATCTCCCTGTAGCTTCAATGCGGCAAAAATGCAATCAAGTAACTGCAACAAAGTCCTTTCTGTTGTATTTTGATTGAGATGGATATTTCAAATTATTGCTGACTAGAGTTAGCGATTCCCCTATTGACGCACAAATACAAGCAATGAGATCAGGGGGTTCTTCTTATGATGGCCTATGTGTGGAGGCTCCGACGTGACAGAAAGGGAAAAGGAATTCCACTAGTTGAAGTGTATGAAAGGATACTGAAATTTGTCATTTCGGAGTGGTGTAAGTACCCAAAAGGGCAAACAAATGAAGTTTATGGCTTTGAAAAAGTCACGAAAGCTTCGTTGTTAAGTGATGAATCGCATATAAAGACAGCGCATATACACTTTTTTTAGTCCCCCCTCCCTGGTAATGAGATAGCAAGCTACAGGTACAGAATATCATTTGACTCACCCAAGGGCTGAAGTGGTGATACGAAATGTTTGCTTGGAGCTTCTCCGTAGCTCTGTACTTGTCTGTGGCGAGCAGCTCACAGAAATAAATTTTCTCTGCTGTAAGGACTGTTCCAGTGTTTACCGAGTAACAACTTTCTTCTTCGATGCAGTGGAAAACGCAGTCGATTTCTATTTGCACCAACAGATTTTTAATAACAGTTGCAGGTAAAACTTTGTACAGGTCTGGTTTAAAGTTTCCGTACCTGACAAGGCTGCGTCGAGAACGGGAAAGGGAACTTTGAGGCGAAGCTGGCAAGCTTCTTGTGAGATACAAAGTAAGCAGGAACTTGAACAACATCGCCGATAACTCAAGGCATTCCTTCGTTCACCCCTCTGGATTGAGCGTGGCAATAGAATCTGCGAACTAAAGTACCTTAATGTAAATTTTGATATTTTGCCATTAATAATGAATGGAATGAAAAAAAGAGTAAGGTTTACCTTACTAGTAATTTACAGTTTCATACATAATAATATGGCATAATCATCGCTAGAAGTGTGAATTGTGCTTGTTGCATAGAGTTGCATTTCAAGCTCATTGCTCATTTCTCTTCTATTCTTCTACATGGTAATCCTTCCATTCGTAAATACAACATCGGGGCATAATGCATCGCGAATTTACAAACTTGCTGCAGGAAAATATTTGGAGTTAAGTTTTATTATACTGCTGTTATTTCCAATTTTTTCCAATAACATTTCACTTCGTAATCGAGTGATAAATTATTCAAAACAAACTTTTCATTACAATCAAAGACCAATTCGCAAACACGTTAAAAGGAACATGTCATCTACTAATATCATATCGATTTTCTAATCACCAAACAACAAAAAGCTCTATAACGCACTCGCTATGCGATGAAACAGGAGCAGTAAGGCCCTCGCGTATTAACTGAATGCTTTAAAAATGGTACAAACCAGCAGGTGACATTATGCATTACATTTTAGGGACTTTTTTGCTGTCAACAATAACAG